CTTATTGCTAAATTTGAACAGATAAAGAAAACTTTATATCGAAAAGTGTAAATTCAAAATAAACATTACAAAAGTCATCTGGCGGACTAGAATCTAATTCAGAGTCTGCGAAATTCAAAGCTGAAAAATACAATGCATTGGTTAGTTGCATATTGGGATTTCAATAGATTTGATATAAAGCTAGTTAGTGAAAAAGTATTAAGTATTTAAAAATCATAAATTTTGCTTCGAAATTAAAAGATCAAGATCATAATTCAGTTTCATAGTTTATTTACTGAAGATTAATTAGACTAAATTTAAACGCCAATCTTGTTTGTGATATTCATGATCTAGTTCATGAAATATGAACTTGATTTATAAATCTGTTAAGTAATAAAACGTCTATTGACGCAAATTGGTTACATAATTTTATGATGGTAAAATTCAAATTAACGTGTCAAATTGAATAAGCAATTTGTGTTTACACTAAAACACCGGCAATTTCAAATTAAATTAATATTCCTAATACTTTTGCAAAAAGATGTGTTAGGCAAGAAATGTAAGCATACAATTCATTTTAACATCGGTCGAGACAAGCTTTTCAATGAATATTGCTAACTACTAAAATCACATTGAAAGCTGCCCTTGATTTGATCAGTTTGGTAGCTAATCTCATATCGAATACGAATCTCATTTTCCATTGGAAAATGTTGCAAATTCAATTGTAAAATTAATTATGATATCTAATGAATATGAAGACACATTAAGCTTCAATCAATCTGGATGATAAGTCTGTATTTAAGGTGCTTTATAAAGCTGTAAATCTACTAAATAGCTTTAACAGGTAAATCTAAATGCGAAATTTTCCGTGTTTAAATGAAAACCGGGGCAAGTTTTATTTCATATTGATTATTCTGCTCAAATTGAACATTATTCAACGAAAATTTCTGTACACAGAAGTTAACAAACATCTGTATTTAATGTGGTATCTTTAGTGAATGGTATTGACATGGCAAAAATTATACATTTTGCAACTGTTATATGCACCTTAATTGTGCTTCCCTTGACTACAACAACTAAAGCTCTTTGGAAACCTTGTTTCGATGATTCGTGTCCGATAAAAAACATTAAAATTAAATACAACTTTGCTTTTAGCTCCGGCGAAGGTGATATTGAGCGGAGTTGGAGTGACGATGGAACCTTGTTTGTGCTGGAAACTCATAGCGATCTTGTTCAGAAGACAAGGACTCAACATGATGATCACAACGTTATATTTACATGTAGTGTTCCCGATATTAAAATTCCTGTTGATAGTTACAAGCGGGCCAACATTGATTACCAGATCCAGCCAGAGATAAATGGAACTGCAATTTATCTAAACGATACAATGCTCTGTTCCTGGTCTATTATGATAGGCAACTCTACATTTCCTTTTGAATTGATTGATCCACCTCAATATTACATATCGGAAAGCGGATACCAAATCTATTACAACTTGACCCAAACTGTACCTATTGCTGCAGCCAACTACAGTCAGTTACCTGAAAGTGTTGATACATTTGTCGATGGCTATCAATACAAAGCTGTTGGATCAGAAAAGTATCTGTTGATTGCTAGAGTAACAAACGAGACAACTGATTTCTTGTTAAAAGTTAATGGACAAACTCCAAGGTGGGTTCAAGTGAATCTAGAAGGTGCAATAGGGATAAATATTGAGTGCAATTTTGAGCAACGGTTCGTTATTAGTTCCATACGTGCTTATTTGAATCCGGGAGAGGGGAAAATCGATGGAGATGAATGCCGCTGGTCGCTGTCTGAAGCATTTGAAGTTCATTGGCAGCCAACTAAAATCAAGGATACGACTTATGAATTACAGATCATTGAAAACAGCAGATTCGTTCATTTTCATGGAAACAATTTCAGAATAACAACACCTACTTCTGCTTCCAGTTCATTAACAATCGCCAAATCATTGTTAATTGTCATGTTATTTTCTGCAATTTTCATATAATCCAAAGTATTAATACTTTGACTTGAATCTTTAGTATCAACAAATTTGTTAAATTCAGTTCGAAAACGTGAAACGAAAACAAGATTTATAATTTTTTTTATTAAACCAATCATTCGCCAAGTTATATTGTGACCGTTCACAACTGTTAACAGTCAAAAGAGGAAGATTGAACTTACTTTTCTATGGAGATGAACCAAAAGTGAAAAGTAAGAGAGAAAGGGGAGGGATCTTACTATTCTAAAACCTTTCGGTTCAAAGTGAAGAGTAAGAAGGAGAGAGGGCAGCACAAGGGAGTGAAGAGGCAAAGTTGAGAGTTTAAGTCAAACTTTATTGATAATGTTGAAGAAAAGTTCGGAGTATATATGTCTCCCATGGGACATAGAGATGTCAGGGTACAAATGGTTTAGTTAAATTCAGTATAAAAATAATCATAATAAAGATATAAATACAATGGTTGAAATGTGCATAGTTAAAAGTATAATATTTCACGTTTACATTTACCGCTAGGGTTACCTGCTTTTGATTGGAAAGATACAATTGTAATGCATTAAGTTATATTGAAAAAGCCCTAGTGGCGAAGGTTTGAAAGAGAGAGAGTCATATGTTTTAAGTTTGTGCTTTGGTTTGTTTTTATTCCAAGTTAATTATCATCACATTCGCCCACTGTAATTTGAGTTTGTTGTCTATCAACAAACTGCTTGAGCTGGGATGAATGAGCTTGAATTGGTGTTCCTGAAAGTGATTCCGAGATGATGTAGGTTACGTCCGTGATCTTCTTGATGACATAGTATGGACCTGTATACTTAGCTGTGACTTTAGTTCTGGATGGATGGTTGAATGGTACTTCCTTGAGTACTTTGGATCCAATCTCAAAGTTTGCGACGGGATGTTTAGCGTCATGTCTTTGTTTCCTTCTTTCTTGTTCCGTACGTGTCCTGGTCCGGGCTAATTCTCGTGCTTCCTGGAGATTGTTGGTTTGACCGGAGAAAGTCGGAGTTGGATCGGTTCCAAAGAAGAGATATGCAGGAGCATAACCAGTGATATCGTGTGGAGTGTTGTTGTAGTCAGTGACAATCTTTGGTAAGAGCGTTGTCCATTTACGATGAGGGTGATCTTGTAAAGCAGCTCTTACTTTGACCATCAAAGTTCCATTGATACGTTCGACAATACCGTTGGTTTGTGGATGATATGGAGTACTGAAGATGTGCTTTATGTTGTGGCGTTTAAAAGCTTGTTTCAAGACTGTACTTTGGAAGTTCTTGTGACAATCAGTTAGAATAGCTTTGATGCGAATGCCAGATTGAATAAGTTTGTCCAAGAGGGTTACTATGGATGCTGATGTGTTGGTGGTTGTGGGAAAGGCCCAAACATATCGTGAAAAGTGGTCTATGAAGACTTGAATGTACTTATGTCGAGTACTACCAGCTGCAGGTCCCATGACTATAGTATCGAGGCCGACGAGATCACCAGGTTCGAGATCAACTGAAGGGAGGATCATTTGACCAATACTTGGACGATGGGTTTGCTTGACAAGCTGGCATGAACGGCATGAATCGACATAAGCTTTGATGTCTGAGATCATATGAGGCCACCAATAGAAACGAGTAATAAGTTTAACAGTCTTGTTTTTCCCAGGATGACTGTAATCGTCATGAAAATGCTGTAAGACTTTATTACGGAGTGTTGGTGGAATGATAGCTCGAGTGGAACCACGAGTTTTCACGGTTACGATGCCATCCACTTTGAAAGATTGTTGAATATGAGAGAAGTCAGTGGTGGCTTGATGTTGTTTGATTTCATCAGCGTCGATGAGGAAAGTAACTGGGGCTCTTGATAAAGCATCAACGTGTTGTTGAGAGACGCCAGCTCGATGAAATAGCTCATAAGATCGAGTAGAGAGCTTGATACTCCAACGATAGAGTCTTCCTTTGGGTTTCTTGAGCGTGAGGAGCCATTTCAACGCACTGTGATCAGTGATGACTTTGAATGGGAGGCTAAGATAGGCTTCGAAGTGATCAACAGCTTCTACAACTGCAAGGCATTCAAGTTCAAATGCGGTATAGTTGCCTTGGTGTTCGTTGAGTGCTTTGGAATAATAAGCGATTGGATGTTCAAGACCATGTTTGTCGGTTTGAACTAGCGTAGCTCCAATACCAATCTTTGAAGCGTCAGTGTAAAGCGTACACGGTTCATCTTTGTTGTAAATAGCGAGAACTGGTTCATTGATTAACTTGTTTTTGAGGATTTGAAAAGCGGTTTGGTGTTCATCTTTCCAGTGGAAAGAAATATTTTTACAGAGGAGTCTGGTTAATGGTTTAGAGATGGTTGAGAACTTGTCTATGAAGCGACGGTAATAGTTTGCAAGTCCTAAGAATTGACGAACTTCCTTGACATTACTTGGAACAGGAAAATGTTCAACAGCTTTGACCTTTTGTTTGGATGGTCTAACTCCTTCTTCACTGATGATGTATCCAAGATAGTCAACTTCATTTTGCGCGAAGTTGCATTTAGATAGCTTCAGTTTGATGTTGTTATCCTTGCAAAGAGTGAAGATCTTCTCTAAGAGTTGAAGGTGTTCAGAGAAGGTTTTGCTGTAGATGATGATGTCATCTAAGTAATTTATTGCGCCGTTGTAGAGTAAAGAACCAAGTACTCTTTGAAGAATTCTTTGAAAAGTTGCTGGGGCGTTTTTAAGACCAAATGGCATGACGAGCCATTCATAGTGTCCTTCGTGGGTTACGAAAGCAGTTTTCTCGATGCTTTCTGGGTCCATCTCAATATGCCAATATCCCCATTTGACGTCAAGTGTCGAGAAGTACTTACTACCTTGAAGACGATCAATGACATCATTGATCCGTGGCAGCGGCATCTTGTCATCTATGGTGAGGGCATTGAGACGACGGAAATCTATGCAGAGTCGTGTACCACCATCTTTCTTTGGTACACATGTGACTGGGAAGGCCCAAGGACTTTCACTATCGCGAACCAATCCTTTTTCTTTGTATTCTGCAACTTGACGACTTATTTCATCAAGTTCGGCTTGAGGACGACGATAGGCCCTAAGTTGAATTGGAGGATGGTTAATAGTGGTTATCCGATGTTTGGCAACGGTGATGCGGCCAATGTCTGTTTCATTTTGGGCGAAGGCAGATTTATGTTTTTCGATGAGAGCGGCAAGTTGATCTTTCTCATGTGTTTCTCCTAATAGGGTTACTAATTCTTGAGTCTCTGGTGATCGAATGCTGACAGTCTTATCTTCTAGGTTAAGGTGAAGACCGAATTCGATACTGGTGTTGAGACCGATTAAGATTGGATAGCGGAAGTTGGAGATGATGTGATACTTGATCGTCTTGGTTGTTTTGTGGATGGTAGTTGAGGCGAGAGTGTATCCAACACTCTTGGTTGAACCTTCTAGCTGGTTGATGGTTATTTGTTGTTTATTGTTGATGGGAAGGTTGAGTCGTTTACATGTCTTTAGACTCATAATGCTGATTGTACTACCGGTGTCAATGAAGGCTTCGACGGAAATACCTTCGATTGTTAGTGGAATATCGATGAATTTGAGTATTGGAGATATGTTTTTAGCGAAACATACGTCTCCGGGGTCATCTGGATGGAGTTCTTCCTCGGCAGTGTGGGTCGATGGTTGAGGTTGACTGGTTTGAGAACGATTAGGACATTCGCGATGCCAATGGTTTTCCTTTTTACCAAGTCTTTCACAGTACCTACAAACTGGAGGACGGCGTTCAGCAGATTGACGAGGGCGGCTATTGTTATGTGGAGGTGCGGCGACCAATGTTTTAGCAGCGGGTTTCTTTGGTTATTGCTTTGTTAGGAATTTTTCCTTTTGTTTGTAACGCATTTCGGTTTCAGTGGCTATTTCGAGCCAATCAGAGAGTGTACGAGGGCGTCCAGAACTCATATGGAGAGTCCAAGCAAAGGGTAAACCAGAAGTTAGCTGAGAGATGACTTGATGTTCAGCTAATTTTGCTTCACGAAGGAGTTTTATCTTGCGGCGATAATACTCAGTCACTGTCTCTGTACGCTCAAGACGGATACGTTGAGCTTCGAGAAGTGGGTCCTTGAATTCAGAACCGAAGCGAGTGATCATTAAAGATTTGACAGCGTTCCAATCAACATGCTCTTCAGATGCGATTTCCTCGGCGTACCAACTTAGAGCTTCTTTGTCTAGGCTGTAGACTAAGTCTCTTATAAGGGTGTATGAATCGTTGGTGTTGATATGTCTTTCGTACAGGACTAACCAAGCTTGGATGCGGATACCAGATGGTTCGCCAGTATAACATTTGAGAACCTTCTTCTGTGGTAAGGTAATGTACTGCGTTGGTTGGTCGATAGTCGTGTCTAGTTGTGATGTAGTGGATAAACGATTCATATTTTGGTCTTGGAATCGAACTGTTGGTGTGCCAGGGAGGTATGGATTACGGATTAATGTTGGTAGACGAACATTTGTTGGGTTGACCAAGGGTGGATGGGTTGGTTGATTTGGATTTGTGATTGGGTTTGAGTCGAGGTTATCTCCTTGGGCATTTGGATCTGGTATTTGATCAGAGAGGGTAGTATCATCAAGATCATTTGCCATTATGAAAGGAAATAAAACTATATTAATACAAAAACTTTTATTGTTTAAAAACTAACTTATGGAGGTGCTCAACTGGTGTTGCAGATTGAGGTACAATGTTTGGGGCAAAGGAACGATTAATAGAGTCAAAGTGGAGAGCGTAAGTAGCAGTTGAAGCAGCTCTGTTAAGGAGTTGACGAGATTCTTGTCGAGCGGGAAGATTAGCTTTGATGGCGTTGAATTCAGCTGTAGAAGAGAAGGTGGGTTTGCTTTGAGCAAGTTGCTCTTTTAATCGTGAAGCTTCAGCAGCTTTCTGAATACCTTGCTTGAAGAATTTAGCGGCTCTTTCTTCAGTCTTTCTCTGCTTCTTCTGGAGATGAGCTTCGTAAGCCAAGCAGACAGTTCCAGATAGTTCGGCTTCTAAACGCTGCTTTTGAAGGTAGAGTTTTCTTTCTTCCCTTCGTTTCTTATTCTTGGCTTTACCAGGTTTAACGGGGCCAATAGATGGAGCAGAAGGACCAGCGGGAGTTTCAACAGCTTGAACTTCAGGAGTTACCAAAGGACGGAGGAAGCTGGGTCGATCAACTGGCTTAGGGGGGTTCTGTTCCACCAAAGGACGATTAGGCTGGAAGGGGCGGCTGATAGAGGGACCAAGAGGACAGCTGGCTGAAGGAGAAGGGCGAAAATTGGCAGCTGAGGGTCGAAAAGTTCCACCAGGGGGCGTATTCAAACCACCACCAAAGACTACCAAGGGCTTGCTAACAGGTCCAGCAGGGGTTGGTTCAGAATCAGGACCACAGATGTCGCTACCAAACCAATGTCCAGGCGAGCAAGCGGGAGAATCGATGGATTCGGGATCGTAATCCGGCTCGAAAGAGAGGAAATCCACTAAAGAATAGGGGGGAGAAGAACAAGAGATTAGTTCGGGTGAAAACAGGAGAAGATATCCTGTCGACTGCGCCAAATGTGACCGTTCACAACTGTTAACAGTCAAAAGAGGAAGATTGAACTTACTTTTCTATGGAGATGAACCAAAAGTGAAAAGTAAGAGAGAAAGGGGAGGGATCTTACTATTCTAAAACCTTTCGGTTCAAAGTGAAGAGTAAGAAGGAGAGAGGGCAGCACAAGGGAGTGAAGAGGCAAAGTTGAGAGTTTAAGTCAAACTTTATTGATAATGTTGAAGAAAAGTTCGGAGTATATATGTCTCCCATGGGACATAGAGATGTCAGGGTACAAATGGTTTAGTTAAATTCAGTATAAAAATAATCATAATAAAGATATAAATACAATGGTTGAAATGTGCATAGTTAAAAGTATAATATTTCACGTTTACATTTACCGCTAGGGTTACCTGCTTTTGATTGGAAAGATACAATTGTAATGCATTAAGTTATATTGAAAAAGCCCTAGTGGCGAAGGTTTGAAAGAGAGAGAGTCATATGTTTTAAGTTTGTGCTTTGGTTTGTTTTTATTCCAAGTTAATTATCATCACAATATAATATCCAACTCTCAACTTGGTGAATCTTTATTAATCAAGATTAAACTCAGTTCTTTCTCAATTATCTCTTTTTCTTACAATTTGTTGGTGAATTATCTTTATCTGGTTAACAAAATGTTGTAGGAATCACTCCGTTGCATTAACTAGCTTTATATATTTCTGATTAACACCATCAGATATCAATGCTATTTATTCTGATATTGTATTATAATATTTCAATTTTTAATGGGTACTCACTAAAAGACCAAAAATGGCCAAAATCGACCAAAATCGGATTGATGATTAATTATGCTGATTCAATTTCTCACTATAAAAATTTATATTAACTGAGAAATTCATAGCTTAGTTCATTGTGCCATTTTTGATTCAAACTTTTAAATATGGCTGAATACAAAGTAAAATTTTTATAAATAAGCATTTGAAAATTGATATTTTGGCCAAGTTTGGCCAATTTTGGTCTTTTAGTGAGTCCCTTTTTATTGTAAGTTTTTTGATCAAGTGAATTAATTTTGTGAACAGAATAGATCGTCATTTTTTATAATTTGGTCTAATTGCTGCTAATCAATTTAAATATTCCGTTTTCTCTATTGAATAACAGTTGAATCAACTAAATGTAGAGAATGGCTATTACCTCGATTGCATCGATACAGATCGATTCTTTTTCAGAAAAAAACAGCGAATAGTTTGTGTTAAAATGGATAAGATTTTCATTGTGATGGATTGTTTGACTTTTATTTCTACATTTATCGGTAAAAATATATTGCAAAAATAAAGAGTAAATTATTTTAACAAAAAAAACTTGATCATGACTTTGAAAAATGACAATTGAATAAAAAGATTTGTAACTGAGGAATCATTGGTGTACTGAAAATTGTGTCAATTGAAAATAATCACAGATATTTGAAGCGTAAAATTAAATTAAGAATGAAAAATTGATCTATTTAGATATTGACTATAAAGCTTTGACTTATTAACCAATCAATCCTTTGCCACCAGCGACACCCTTCTTAACACCAGCAACACCAGCAGCACCAGCGGCCTTCTTAAATCCAGCAGCACCAGCAACTCCAGCTTTTCCTCCTGCCTTTGCAGCTGCTCCAGCGGCGAATCCTTTCTTGCCTCCTTTAGCACCCTTCTTGAATCCAGCGGCACCAGCAGCACCAGCAAATCCTCCTTTAGCACCCTTACCGCCCATAGCTCCACCAGCAGCACCATAACCAGCAGCTTTACCGAATTTGAATCCTTGGCTCATTCCGAACTTCTTGACAACTCCCATTTTCTTGTTGAATCCAGCGCCACCGGCCTTTGCGAATCCTCCTTTCTTTCCGAATTTCTTACCGAAAGCTCCAGCAGCGAATCCTTTCTTTACTGCAGCACCTTTTTTGCCTGTCAAGTGGATAATCAGTTATTCAATGAGTTTAGTTGACTTGAGCAAATGCTTGCAGTTTAATGAACTGAAATACCATAGACTCATTTACTTGGTAGATTGTTCAATTAAAACATCTAAGTTTATTGTCTTACCTCCAGCGGCTCCAGCGGCTCCAAATGCGGCACCACCTTTAGCTCCTTTAGCTCCTGCTTTGAATCCAGCTTTGCCTATGAGAGTAAATATTTAATATTTTTGTTGATTTTTGTCTTGTTTTGTTTTAATTTTCAACACTTACCTGCTTTACCTCCTTTGAACCCTGCTGCTGCTGCACCTTTCTTACCAGCTTTGTGGGCTACCACTGCTGCTCCTCCTTTACCACCCACAGCTGTTTCGGCTTCTTCTAGATCTGAACCAATCTCTCTTTTGTTTCGACTTTCAATTGGAGATTCATCAGCTTCATCAGGTTCGAAGTTTTCCTCAGCATCATCTAATTCACTTTGGTCGGAATCTTCAGACTGACATTTTGCAACTTGTACAAACATCATTGAGAATAGAGCAAGTAAAAGAACCTAAAGTCAAAATGGAAATAAACAATTTAGATCAACACGATTCAGTTTCGTAAAAGTTAGTAAAAATTTCCACTTACCAATCGTATGTTCATTTTGATGGAGTTTTTGTTGAGTCTTTTAGGAACAAAAATTTGAAAAATTGCAACTGTTAAGGCACGAGATAAAGTCAAAAAGCTTTGGTTTGGAGCTGTAGTTGTTGTTTTTACTTTACTTGTTAGATGGTTGAAACTGAACTGATACTTTTCTCTTGGTTTCAATTATTATTTATACTTATTCACCAATAATCAGGATCACATTGGAACATTATCAATGGAATGGTTTCCCGTTGGAAATGACCTTAACAGGAGATAATCTTTGAAGCAGATATCGTTCACGGGATAACCCGTTTTAACATAACTTTTAACAATATTGGTTTAACGAGGTTGACAAAAATGGAGGAGGAGGAAGTATGCTTTTTTGGGTTCAAATCAACCTTTCATAGATATTTGTTGATTTTGATGAATGATCTTGAAATAAGGTCCAATGCACTTACGAGCTGTTCAAACGGGTAGGTTAAACTTTGTGGCTTTATATAGAAATAGACGTCGGATTGCGGCCATTTTAATTTTATATTAATTAGCTTTATCAGGAATTTGAAGGCTTCTAAAAGACAGGACATTCAGAAGCGACACGAAAACGCTTACCGAGCTCGAAAAGGCAGTTTAAAATGGGATTATAACATTTCAATGTAAACTTGTAAATTGTCTGACAGTGGTAATTGTAAAGGTAATTGTAATCATTAATTGCCCACAAAAATCTATTTATATGCAAATTTTCTGATCAATAAACAAATCCGTTCTAAAGATATAGCCGTTCACTTTTTGACCTACCCGTTTGAACACCTTGTATTTACCATCTTTCCCTTGCATCAAGTACAATCAAAGTTAAAGCACTGCTAAATACAGAACAATCGTCGTGCTTCAGTAATGAATCAATTTTGCCAATACTTTTATACAAAGTTAGGCAAGAAATATAAGCACGAAATTCATTTAGAGCATTGGTCGAGATAAGCTTTTCATGAATATTGTCAACAAATAAAGTCACATTAGAAGCTGTCCTTGATTTGATCAGTTTGGTAGCTAATCTCATATCGAACACTTAATTTCTCATGTTGCAAATTCAATTGTTAGATCACTCATGATTCATGATATTTATCTAAGCAATCTTGAGATAAATTAAGCTTCAACCAAGATGGATGATGAGTATGTATTAAATGTATTTTATGAAACTGCGTATATTGTTAATCTAGTACATTTATTCCAGAGGTGAATCTAAATCCAAAATATTCGCTTTTATGAAAACCAAATTCAATTTTCTTTCATATTGAAGATCCAACTTGAATTCAACGTTATCTAGCTCAAAATTTCTGTATAGAGAAGTGAAAACATAGTTTAAAATTAGTGATTGGTATTGACATGGCCCAAAGTATATTTTTGTCAATTGTTTTATCCACTTTAATTGTGCTTCACTTGGCAACAACAACTAAAGCATATTGGCAAAAATGTTTCGATGATTCGTGTCCGATTAAATACATTAAATTTTCATCTAAATCCAGTTCTCGCGACATTTCAGGTGGTTTAGATAGAGACAAAACTACTTACTCTTCAAATGACGATGGAGTCAGGTTCGAGATGCAAGCTCCTGCATCTGGCATCCCTGGTCAGACAATAGATATTGAATGGGATGACGACAACGTTTTATTTACTTGTAGTGTTCGTGTTGTTACAATTTATAAGGACAATTACACTATTCAGACTATTACTGATTACAATATCGCACCAGAAATAAATGGAACTGCAATTTATTTCAATGATAAACTCTACTGTTCCTGGGCTATAAAGATAAGCAACTCTACATTTCCTTATGAATTGATTGATCCACCTCAATATTACATATCGGAAAGCGGATATCAAATCTATTACAACTTGACCCAAACTGTACCCATTGCTGCAGCCAACTACAGTCAGCTACCTGCAAGTGTCGAACCATTTGTCGATGGCTATGAATACAAAGCTGTTGGATCAGAAAAGTATCTGTTAATTGCTAGAATAGCAAATGATTCAACTGACTTCTTGTTGAAAGTTAATGGAGAAACTCCAAGACTGGTTGAAGTGAATCTGAAAAGTGACATAAGCATAAATATTGATTGCAATTTCGAGGAAGGAACCTTTACTATGTCCACAAAGTTCTATGACACAGAAAGCGTAGTATGGTTTCTGCAGCCTGGAAGAATCGATGGAGATGAATGCCTTTGGTCATTATCTGACTCATTGAAAGTTCGTTCGTTTCCAACATGGGAGACATTCCAACCAACAACAACGAAGGAAACGACTTATGAATTACAGATCATTGAAAATAAAAGATTTGTTTATTTTGATGAAAACTATTTCAGACTAATAGCACCTTCTTCTGCTTCCAGTTCATTCACAATCGCCAAATCATTGTTAATTGTTACGTTAATTTCTGTAATCTTCATGTAATCGAAAGTATTAATATCTCACTTGAATCTTCAGTATTTACACATTTTGCAAAACTAGAAAAGCATTAAACAAGATTTATAATTGTTTTTATTATATTTAAACCAATCGCCTTCCAAATTCACTAATGAATTACTATTAATCAAAATGAATCAAAACTCAATTCTCTCAATATGTTTTAAAGGGTGTTGCGGATAAAAATTGGAAATTATCTTACCTTAGATTAAGAAAAATCTCTGACGAAAAGCAATTTTTACATATTTTCCTTTAGTCTCTTCTTTAAATTTTGTTATCTTCATTTTTATCATAATTTAAAGTAAGATAATTTCCAATTTTTTATCCGCAACACCCTTTATCTTAATGGGGTATGTTTATCTGTTTTACAAAATGTGCGATTTAATCCGTGACTAGATTTATGTATATATTTCTGATTGACATAATCAGACATTAAGCTTCCCAACCCAATATAAAATATCGCAAATGGTGAAACAACGGCTCATCATCCTTTGCTGCTAGGTTTTTACGCGAACATGAAACTCAATTCAATAATAACGGAAAATCAAAAGTATAAATACGTACGCAGATACGTTCAGAGATAGCTGATGTTATTGGATTTGAAAGAAGATTATGTTGACAGAAATAGAATGCCATTTACACTGACTTTCATCCATGAAATACATCGAATTGGTTATGTTGTTGCAAATAATCTACTCAGGAGAGCATCAAGTGATACAAAAATCGGCAATTACAATATAAAAAAATTGGCTCAGTAATTTCGAGTTGAGAAATCTTTTGGAACTTCATTCAGATGCAACCATATCACTCATTGATTATTGCCGAATGACCATTTGATTTGCTTAATCGACCAATAGATGTTTACAGATTATTCAATATTATCAAAAAACTTGCATTCCATAGACAAAAAGAAAACCCAGAAATTGCTTTTGCCGTTTTCAGTTACAATTGTTTCTAGCAAAATGATGAGTGATGTGCATTAAATATACCGGGCTTTTTTACGTTAAGAAAATGACCTCCAAATGTCGATTAGAGGTCAAATAACGAATTGAACTTGAATGAATGCTTGAGTTGAATGACCTCCAACTAATGGTTCTTAAACTCTTAAGCTTATGGTTTGAATCTGAGGTCTGTAGCATTAACTGTTCGTGAGTTATGACTCCAAACAACCGTAAAATGAAAGGTGCTCTATCCATTATATCGAAATTTTCACTCATCTTGGTCTCAATCAAGCTGATCAAATAAATGCTAGCATAAACTGATGACCATTAACATTTGCGGGATACAAACATCTTTAAGTTTCACGAAAAGACTCATCTCTGTAAAAACGGAGTGCAATTTCAAGTTACATTACCTTTCACTTTATTCCAGTCCATAGTGTGAAATGTTGAGAATCTTTTATCCACAAAACCATCTGGTTGTTCCATGAATATTTGCTGACCAATCAAATATGCTATTGTTATTAATTATACAAGCTGAGCCCCCGATCATGGTTTATCGTAAATTTCTTTTCACTGAATACAATAAATTCAATCCACATTTAAAGACTCGAATGATTGATGAAAAATTGTCTATGAGAAAAACTAAAAAAAATTCGTTCATTTTGAGAGTTGTACAGTTGAAGCACCAGATATATAACTTACTCTTTGCTCGAAAGACAGTTTTACATATACTCCTAAGCCAACAATAAACCATCAATCTGAATACAAAAAAAGTTTTTCCCCCAAAGTCAATAGTAAAAGATACGGATTCTGCGTTTTTTCCCCCACCCTGTTTAAACGCTAATTTCTCAGTAACCTGAATTCCGAGAAAGCTCTGACTATTTTTAGTTACTGTAGTTTAATCAGAGTTTTCATTTTATGTAAAAATTTTTTTTAGAACCCGTTTAGTTTGGTCACAATCTTCCCGCAAAAATTTCATAGTTTGACTTTATATATTTGTCTGAGCGAAGCGAAGACTATAAGATGAAATCAGAAATCTGTGTGCCGCGATAACTCAATTTTTATAATTCAGATTTTCTTAAGATCTTGAAAATAGGGTCATAGTAGGCCAAAGAATACCTGTATAGTTTTTGGTGAACATTGGCCCACTCCCGAATTATCATAAATTTAAATGCCGATAGATGGCAGCATCTGTACAAACAACAGATGGCAGCACACTTTTTGTGCACATTGGTTAAATTGAACGGAATCGGCTTAATTAACCAATTTTTTTACCGTTTTTCACTGTTTTGACAACCATATTGTCCACTACTCAATCAAACACATCAAAGACATCTTTCAAATCAAACATCATCACTTTAAAGATACTTTTCTCAACAAAATGGTCAGCAAATTGTCTAGCACATTCATCCAACACTTTAGAGTGGCTTTTTTCCACCACATTTTCAAAATATTTTTTATTAGATTTTGCACCACTCAAATCTTACCGAAATTTTGACACTTTTTGGATATAATGGCGATTAATAGTGAATGTGTTAGATGGTGTAGAAGTGGTCAACAATTTGGTGCAATTGGGTGCAATCTTATAAAAAATTGTTTGAAAATGTGGTGGAAAAAGCCGGTCACAATTGATCCCGTTAACCCCTAGACGACCTGTTAGGGCCAACTGCAGTTAGAGTTGAACAGTCGGGTTTAGCTGCACAATCGATATCGACAATTCATTTGCAGCTATCTATACGTTCAACCTGGATGAAGATCAATACACAGAATTCAGCTGCACAATTTTCGATTTCGGCATCTTTCATCTAGAAAAATTTGTATGCTTTGTTACGAGAATTTATGTTTGTTTTTTAGATGCATCCAAATGCCGAAATCGAAAAGTGGACAGCTACTTTCGTTTCATTGGTCTTTGAGAAGGTCAAATGTACCACTGAAGTTTTCTTGGAGTTTTTTGCTTTTTTGTTACAATGTCATCTAGGGGAATTACAAAAGGAAATCAAGAATTTTACAATTTAAACAATTGAAAAACTAAATTACTTCTTCTATGGGAAGAGAAGCATAGATGGCTACAAGAGATGTCTATGAAAGAGTGCAATCGTTCTAATTGTGAAATTCGTGGTTATTCTATTGTAGTTCACCTAATGGCCGGGTAACAAACAAGAAAAAACTGTGGGGCAAACTAAAGCTACTCATGAATTGTCAATATCAGTTCGTGAACTTTCTGTTTTAGTTCATTTTCAATTTTTTAATTTATATTACAATCATGACCCCATTGATCACAGTATACACACGCTCAGACGTCACTGTTTTTGCAGTAGATCTAGTGTATATGTATATGTATAGATTTGATTTGTACCCCTTAGCAAACAACCGGTAACCAACTGTCTCTAAACAATATAAAGAGTCATCTAGTGGACTAGAATCTGATTAAAAACCTGAGAATTCAAAACTTGAAAATAAAATTCATTTGTTGATTGTTTGTTAAGATTTCAATGGATTCGAGATAAGTGCTCCGTGCAAAAGTATTGGGGAAATTCATTTTAATTATGAATTACGAAGATTTGATTGTATTTAAGCACAAACACAAAATGCTAGCTCACTTTGCCTTAATTTGAATAGTAATTTCAAAATTGAGATTTCTTCATTGATCAGTTAATTGCCATACTCCTGACCCAAAGCTTAAGATTCATAAGAAATTTTATCTTAAAACTCATGAAAAGCATTGGTCGAGATAACTTTAACGAGAAAGCTTTTCCAAAAATATTGCTAACATCTATGGCACGAAAAGCAATGTATGGTATTGGAATGTTGGGAGAATCGATGGAGATGAATGCCACTGGTCGTTGTCTGATTCATTTGAAGTTCATTGGCAGTCAGTAAAACTCGAGGAAAAGACTTATCAATTGCAGATCATTGAAAACAAAATATTTGTTTATTTTGATGAAAAAAATTTCAGAATAATAACACCTACTTCTGCTTCCAGTTCATTAATTATCGCCAAATCATTGTTAGTTTTCTCGTTAATTTCTGTAATCTTCATGTAATCGAAAGTATTAATACCTTGACTTGACGCTTATGCAAATGAATTGTCAGTCGAGTATTCACAGTTTTTAGCTTCGAAATAAAAAGATCACTCTACGATCGATCATCTACCTGAATATTACATCTTGTGGATACCAAATCTATTACAACTTGAGCCAAATTTCATTTATAACTCTATTTTGCCAGTGTAATGGTTTGCAATATGACAATTAACTGATTAATAAAGAAGTATAAATTTAGAAATTTAAATTTAAATTAACACGTCGAAGTAAGTTAGAAATTCGTGTTGGTACTTAAATTACTGATAAATACAGAATAATCTTCGTGCTTCAGCAATCAATGAATTTTCTCAATATTTTTGTAGAAAGCTTAGGCAAGAAATATAAGCACGAAATTCATTAGAGCATTGGTCGAGATAAGCTTTTCATGAATATTGTCAACAAATAGAGCCACATTAGAAGCTGTCCTTGATTTGATCAGTTTGGTAGCTAATCTCATATTGAACACTCAATTTCTCATTAGAAATGTTGCAAATTCAATAGTAAGATCACTCATGAATCATGATATTTATCTAAACAATCTTGAGATAAATGAGCTTCAATCAATCTGGATGATGAGTATGTATTAAATGTATTTTATGAAACTGCGTATATTGTTAATCTAGTACATTTACAGTGTATTCCAGAGGTGAATCTACATCCAAAATTTTCGCTTTTTATCAATAAATGAAAATCAAGTTCAATTTTCTTTTATATTTATGATTCACCTCGGATTCAACATTATCTAACTCTCAATTTCTGTATAGAGAAGTGAAGAAATAGTTTTGTATTATTTTTATAATTAGTGGTTGGTCTTGACATGGTACAGAGTATACTTTTGTCAATTGTTTTATCCACTTTAATTGTGCTTCATTTGACAACGACAGCTAAAGCACATTGGAAACAATGTTTCGATGATTCGTGTCCGATAAAAAACATTGAATTTTCAACTAGAACCAGTTCTCGCGACATTTCAGGCAAGTTAGATGGTGCCTCAACTAGTTACTCTTTAAATGACGATGGAGTCAAGTTTGAGACGAAAGAGCCCGCATCTGGCATCCCTGGTCACACAACAGAGGTTGCTTGGGATAAGGACATCGTTTTATTTACTTGTGGTGTTCGTAAATTTACAATTTACAAGGATAATTACAATCTGACCATTACTGATTACAATATCGAGCCAGAAATAAATGGAACTGCAATTTATTTCGATGATAAACTTTACTTTGCCTGGGCTTTAAAGATAAACAACTCTACATTCCCTTATGAATTGATTGACCCACCTCAATATTACATCTCGAAACGTGGATACCACATCTATTACAACTTGACCCAAACTGTACCCATTGCTGCAGCCAACTACAGTCAGCTACCAAAAAGTGTTGAACCATTTGTCGATGGATATCAATACAAAGCTGTTGGATCAGAAAAGTATCTCTTAATTGCTAGAGTAACAAATGATTCAACTGACTTCTTGTTGAAAGTCAATGGAGAAACTCCAAGACTGGTTGAAGTGAATCTGAAAAGTGACATAAGCATAAATATTGATTGCAATTTCGAGGAAGGAACCTTTACTATGTCCACAAAGGCTTACGGCATGAAAAGCAGAGTATGGTATCTGAATTTTGGGAGAATTGATGGAGATGAATGCCGATGGTCATTATCTGATGCATTGGAAGTTGATTCGTTTCCAGCAAAACTCAAGGAAACAATCTATGAATTGCAGATCATTGAAAACAAAAGATTTGTTTATTTTGATGAAAAAAATTTCAGAATAATAACACCTACTTCTGCTTCCAGTTCATTAATTATCGCCAAATCATTGTTAGTTTTCTCGTTAATTTCTGTAATCTTCATGTAATCGAAAGTATTAATACCTTGACTTGAATCTTCGGTATCTACAAATTTGTTAAATATACATGTAAATAAATCAATGTAAAATATCGCAAATGGTGAAATCAGCCGCTCATCATTCTTACAAGTTAGTTGTTAGGTTTTAACGCGAAAATGAAATTAAAGTCAATTAAAAAGAAAAATCAAAAATATTGACATTTTCTTGTTGACATTTGACGCTCATTCATGCTCATGTTTCTCAATACAACAATTCATGTAACAACAAAAACTATGAGTTAAATTAAGATAATGAAATAATCATCGAAAGTCCAGTGGTTAGAGAGTAGGTCAAATTAAATGTTGATTAGAATGAAATCGAGGATTCAAACCTGGTTAGTGTATCATTTTTATGTCAAATAGTTTGCCGTATTGACGCGTATCGTAGCACCGTGCTTTAAAATGAGCGTGCTACTGTTAAAGGCCCAATTTTGTGACAATAGAGGCGCCTCTGAATAATTTTATTATTTTCAATTTTGGGTGTGAGCCGCAGTGGCTACACTGTTCGCTAATGTGCGAACTACAAATGTGTATCTTATTTTACATATTCATATTACAAGCCATGCTTGTTTACAATATTTCATTAAGAAGGGAAAGACAGAAGAGAAGAGGAGAGGAGAAACCAAATGGACCAGAGAGAGAGACTCGATCCCGGAGTTCCTTGGTGATAGATTAGGTTTTAACGTGAACATGAAATTCAAGTCGATAACAAAGAAAAATCAAAATATTGACATTTTCTTGCTGGTATTTGGCGTCTATTCATGCTCATATTTCACTTCATTTTCAATAACAAAAAGTGTGAGTTAATTTATGATAATGAAATAATCATCGACAGTACAGTGATTAGAGAGTAGGTCAAATTAAATGTTATTAATTATTAGGTTAATAATTAGGATAAGATTGAGGATTCAAACCTGGTTACGGTATCAATTTTTTATGCCAATTACAACTATTTGCATTTCCTTGAGATAAATTGCGTCTTCAACTCGCTTTGCCTGGTACTGTCATCTACCAGATAATGTCACTACCAGATAATGTCACTACCAGATAATGTCACTAGATTTATCAATAGCCCCTCAAAACCCTTTTGTTTACATTTCCTATAAGGAAAGTTTTAATTGAAATTAGCAGATATTGTCAAGAAAATTAAATATTTCTGAAAAATTTTACTCAATTAACCATCTTAGTTACGATAATAACTATTATATTATTTATGTGACGTTAATAGCAATCAATTTTGGTTTTATTAATTGTTGCAATTAATTTTTGCTCAATGAATAGACTTGCTGTGGATATAAGCTATTTCCAGGTAGTGACATTATCTGGTAGATGACAGTATTTGAAACGGAAAAGCCTAATCGTAAAAAATCTTTGTACGAATAGGCTTCGAGACGATTCGTGAAAATGGAATTACAACGCCATCTCTTGTTTTGTTTAAATATAAGCTTAATTAAAAAGCTAAATTATGTTAATACAATATGTCTGAGAAAGTTGAATTTACTGATGATAAATCATTCGTATCTTATAAATCTTTATATGATTTTGTTAAAATTTATGAAAGAAGTCATTTCACACAATTGTATAAGTGTTCAAGCGTAAATTCAAAGACCGAATCGTTACTTTACCGTTATCCGTTATACAATTGCAAAGCCGGAGGAAAAGATTACAAATAAGAGTTAAGAGGGCAACGAGAAGCCAGATACTATACAATTTGTAGCATATTGAAGAAATGCAACAAAAAGTCCAGCACTGATAAAGGTATTTCATTTATCACATCTTTGATTTAGAACATTCCAAAGAGGCTGTCCATTTTAAGACATAATAAGAGAAGACAAGATCAGGCGGTTATTGGTCGATAGTAAAATTTAATTAGCTACGAACTTGTTTATTCACTGGACATCCAGAAATATATCGAAGGTTACCTAGATAAAGATGCCCAAATAAAGAGCAAAAGAAGTTAATTATGGACGTTAAATGTGTTAAGGCAACAATAAAGCACGGGTAGCTAAATTTCAGGAAGAACATAATAAGTGCACAACTGGAAAAGACATTCAGAATGTTTCCAGAAATCATGTCATGTGTTTTAACAACTTATTACAATTTTAATTTCGTTTCACAGACCATTCGTAAACGGCAACAACCGCGTTCGCGTAATTATTTGAATGAGCTTGATTGTAAAACCAGCATGTCAGTGTTGAAAGAAATCTCTGAGCAGCTTGATGCACTGGCGGGAAAAAGAACCTGTGAATTAATTCTTAGAATGTTGTGAATGTAGATTCAAGGACTGAGACCTCTACATATGCTTATAATGGTTATTATTAGGCGGGTCAATAAGTCCGTATAAAAAATATGTTCCCGATGTCTGAGAACTTTCATTTTATAGATTATCATTATTCAAGTCTTAAAGGTTTCGTTAAGAGTTCGACAAGGTTCTGAGTCAAAATTGTGCCCAGAAAACGGGCCTGGAAAAAACAGTCCCGTTTTCCGTTTTTCGGTTAAAAAAGATGTCCAACGATGTGACCTTTTGAGATAATCGAAGGCAAACAGAGTTATAGAAGTCAGAATAGGCTCATTAGACAGGGCAGTAAGGATTTTCCTGTCTAAATGGCCTTTTTTATAATTTTGACGTGAATTTAGCAAAAAAGCCGATTTGGCTGAATGGAGTAGCCATTTTTCGGCTGCCTCTCTGACTCAAACCTTGATGTGCAGAACATTTATCATCATGTTCCTAGATTCATCAAAGATGGCCTTAAGATCTTTTGAGATCATAAGAAAAATAACGGAAATGATAGACCTGATAAGGCCAGAAATCTGTAAATTACCGACTTTAAGAGGTCATGCCGAAAATGGCCTATTAAATATTTTGACATGCCTATTTTTCAGTTTATGTGTATCTATTCTAATAGCGAAAGAACCCACTGTATCAGCACCGCAAACTGATTCAAATTGACCGCAACTGCGGAAAATGATAGGCCTTTTTTGGCAGACCATTTTATCAAAACACGAAAATACAGCGATCTGTTGGCCTTTAATGGCCAATAACTTTTGAGAACATTGAGGTAAATCTGCGAAACTTCGTAAAGTTGACCTTCAATATTGTCTTTACGATTCCACCTTAACGGTCGTTTTCGAAAAAAAAGAGAAGCATGTTTTTATACGGACTTATTGACCGACCTAATAGATGTGATATTTATTATGCAATGTAATTGTTGTCTACAAGCTAGTTTGAGAGGACTTCAGGGTTTAAAAATAGTCTGATTCAATAAAAAGCTCGGGTAATTCACAACAAACGATTGCTGATAAATGAGCGGATCAATGCCAAGCAAAACTGAGAAAATTTACTTCGAATAGATTGACCTTTGTATGGCTGAAAATTGGAGGACTGATCATTTAAGATGCATTATTTTTAAGTCAACACAAATTGTACTAATAATACATTATTCCGTGCAATCGCACTTGAAACCACTTGTTATTATAAATATTATTATTTACATTTATCTCAGTTATCCAGACGATTAAATCAAACACATATTGTGTACTTACGAATTGTTTTCACTCAGCATTACCTAATTTATTATCATAATCATTACATCACTTGATATGTTTCTAAATGCTGAGGCTCCAGCTAAAGTCTGTTATATCAAATTAAAGGCGATCTTACAATGGAGATCTTGTTCATACTGTGTTCCTCAGTTACCATAATTGAGTCTATTTGCAGGGTCGAAATTTTAAGAATGGAATTCAATTTTCGCAATTTTCTAGGCGTAATCTTGCTGATTTCAGTTAATTATTTCATTGAATTTATTATCGATAAAAGATTACACTTTTTTGATTAAATACCAAAAGTAGACTTAATTTCGTGAATTAATTGTGCTTAATAAGGCCGAACGCGATGCCTTACGAAAAAAGTTATTTCATTGTATTGTGATTCTGTGCATTTAACTCTAAATTGATAAGAAATAGATTCCAAATAAAAATGGAATCGACTTTGATTGTTTGTAAAATAAGAATAGCTAAATAAGCAATAAAGGGGATTTATTATGATAGAAGTCATTCATTCAGGTTCAATGTTGATAACCATCATCCAGCTATTATCATTGGACTCCTTCCAGTATTTCACCAATTTTGCTCGTGTTGATAAAACCCTGGTAAAAGTCCTGATGGGCAGTACATAGTTGTTGTCTTGATTGATTATTAATACAAACAAAGCTGTTTATTGTTCATCAAGGAGGCGTTTAATGGTTATCTTCGTCCGATAAAGAAGATTCAAGTTGATAAAAATGTTCTTAATATAAAGCTCAATTCTGGTAAACATTTTATTTTAGTTTTACTGTTTCCACAATTATGTTTTTAATTAGTAATTTGCTGTCATCTCAGCCTCTAGTTAACAGTTTGATTGGGCTTGCCCTCTTCTGGCTGGTAAAGTATTTATTTAATACAATACAAAGGATTCGTTCATTACCAGCTGGTCCTTGGGGTCTTCCGATTGTTGGCTATTTACCCTTCATTAAAGATGATATCTATCTTGTGTTTGACCAATTATCTAAAAAGTATGGACCAGTTTATAGTTTGAAATTGGGTTCTTTCGATGTGGTCTTGGTTTGTGATTGGCCTCACATGAAAGATGCTGTTGCCAATGATGCCTTACTTGCTCGACAACATGAAGTATTTTTCCCTGGTGTGGTTGAGGGACGTTCATTTGCTGAAATGTCAGGCGACCCTTGGCGCGAACATAGACGTTTATCACTCCATATTTTACGAGATGTTGGTCTTGGAAAGAGCACAATTGAAACATTGGTCAAAGAAGAGGTTGACCAATTTCTTTCAGCCTTGGAAAATAATGGTAAACCTGCCGATTTTGAAAAATGTATTTCTCGCTCTGTGACAAATAACGTCTCAATTTTATTGTTTGGCCATAAATATGAACGTGATGATCCTACTGCTATCGCAATTTCATCAGCAAATACCGAGGTCGGACGTAGTTTTAGCTTCGCCGGTGTAGTGGCTTTTCTACCATGGTTGGCTGAGCTTGTGTTTAAATTTGAATTGTTTAATGTGACCAGATTGAAAAAGTGCTTTCAAATCGTCGATACACATATTCAAGATGAAATTGTTAAACATCAGGAAAAAAATTCCCAAGAAGTTGTAGATTACATTGATGGTTATCTTGTTGAGAAGAAAAACAGAGAAAAGCAAAACAAAGTGGACGATAATTTCACCATTGAAATATTGAGACGCAATGCTGGTGCATTTTATGGAGCTGGAACAGAGACTGTATCAAGCACAATGGAATGGATAATGGTATATCTAGTCAAATATCCAGAGTACCAGGATAAAATACGTTCAGAGATAGCTGATGTTATTGGATTTGAAAGAAAACCAGATTATGTTGACAGAAATAGAATGCCATTTACAATGGCTTTCATCCATGAAATACATCGAATCGGTTCTGTTGTTGCAAACAATCTGCTGAGGAGAGCAGCAAGTGATACCAAAATCGGAAATTACAATATACCCAAAGATACTCTGGTTATCTTAAATTTCTGGTCTGTTAATCGTGATCCTAAACTGTGGCCTAATCCAGATGAATTTGATCCAACTCGTTTTCTTACTGAAGATGGAAGTAAAGTAGTGAAACCACCTCATCTTATACCTTTCAGTGCTGGTAAAAGGAACTGTCCAGGTGAAAGTTTAGCCAATGTTGAACTGTTTTTGTATTTAGTTTGTATGTTACAAAAATATCATGTCAAAGTTAAACCAGGAACTAAAATTTCGACTGAAGCCATATTTGGTTTATCAAGACGTCCATCTCAGCTACCAACTTTCATCTTTGAGAAAATTTCCAATTCCAACTAAACTTGCATGTTTCTTATGTTAATATTTGTGTATCAAAATGATTTTTAATCTGATGAACTGACAGAATGTGAATTTACCATTTGTTTAAATAATCATAAACTTTCAGCGCAAAATTAAATAGATATTTTTTGACTGTAAAATACCCTCATTTCATTTGGGATAAACACTAGTGTCAGTATCAATAAATGATTTAATTTCAAGTGAACTTAAGAGTCTGATAGCACACATTTTAATATTTGATATATTATTAATAATTTAATTCATAAGATAGATGATGGACTTAGGACTAAAGCCGTGAAATGCACAAAATTGAAGGAATGGGAAATAGCCAATTAAGACAATTTCAAGTCATTTGATCAGGGAAATATTGAAACGTATTTGCAACTATGCTTTTTGAAAATTATTTTATTTTATCAGATTATTTGATAATGCATATCGGAAAATACACGAAGAGTCGTAGTTGAAATAATTTCAAACCATGTTTTGAATGCAATTGCACTTAAATATTTTTTGTTTTTTGTTTTATACACTTGAATATTTTGATGAAATCACAGGGTTACTGATCGAAACAATATTTTTGCTATTATTTTACATTCTTTTGGTGATATGGTTACTTTTAATTTTAATAACTTTTTTGTCCCTTTGGGTCGTTTGTATTGTTTGTTTGATGAAAAGCAATTGAGTTTTTATTTTTATTTCATTGACTGTTTCAGGGATCATGATCAATAATCTTACCTGTTGAATATGATATTGATATGGGTTAATACAAACGGTTTAAAATCTTAATATCTTTTCGAAGTTGCTATGGTCTATCTGATTATCGATTAATGTTAGTTGATTACATTGACTGAACGTTTGATAAGTCAATTTACTGTTTATTTATGTAAATAAGTTTTATGCCAAATATTGACACTGAAAGTTGTGGTTTCATTGATAATAAAAAATGTATAATTATTATTAAAATATTAGAAAAAATTTATTGATCACAGAAAACTTTTTATACAATTTTTTCAGTTTCACTATAAACTTGGTTTTGGCTGGTATTGGTTCAAATTTGGTTCATGACATTCAGAGGTAGGAAACAATCCTAAGAGTTGTTGCGGCACAATTTAATTTGACTGCGGATCAAAATCAAAATGATCATTTTTTAGAAGACATAATTGACATTGACTGAAAAATGTAGATTTTTGAGAAAAATGAAAGTGGATTGGCAAACGAAGGCTCAACAGGAAACAGGAAATTGGATTAAGACTGGATATGCAAAAATTTGCATAATTTGATATTGTCTGAGGCAAGGCAAGGCTAAATATTGGCAAATGTTTAAAGTAGTCTGTCTGTGGCTATCTTCAGGTTTATGGCGAAACATTTTTTAGCGAATTTCAACAAAAAATGAGAATATCTATAAAATTAAGAAATGCAGGTAAGTTTACCCTGTTAATAAAAACATGTATCTCTACTCGACTTGTCTGGTTAGTAAACACCTAAATAATTAAGTTACAATTTTGTTTGCTTATCGACCGAGCCCGAAACCAGCTCCACCACCGATTCCTTTGACTCCTGCGGCTCCAGCGGCTCCAGCAGCCTTCTTGAATCCACCAGCGCCAGCGGCACCGGCTTTACCACCAGCTGCACCTGCTGCTCCAGAGGCGAATCCCTTTTTACCACCAGTAGCTCCACTCTTGAATCCAGAGGCTCCAGCAGCACCAGCAAAACCTCCTTTAGCTGCTTTACCTCCAACAGCACCACCGGCAGCACCATGAGCAGCAGATTTGCCGAATTTGAAACCTTGGCTCATTCCGAACTTCTTGACTACACCGATCTTCTTGTTGTAACCAGCTCCTCCAGCCTTAGAGAAACCTCCCTTGGAACCAAACTTTTTACCGAAAGCACCAGAAGCGAAACCACCCTTAGAAGCAGCACCCTTTGATCCACCAACAGCTCCTTTAGCGCCATAAGCTGCACCTCCCTTTGCTCCTTTTGCACCAGCGGCATAACCAGCTTTTCCAGCCTTTGCACCTTTAAAACCGGCAGCTGCCCCACCAGCTGCTCCTCCTTTATAAGCACCGAGTCCTGCACCAGCTCCACCAGCGATTCCTGATTCGGCACCTTCTAAATCAGCAGATACATCTCGTCTTTCTCTTTCCAAAGCTACGTCTTCTTCGCCATCGAAAGTTTCTTCAGCATCGAATTCCTCTTCGGCACGGACAAATTGAACACAAAGTATAAGAGTTGAGGCAAAAAGAGCGAATAACTGAAACCAGAAAAAAATGAAAAGTAAAATTAGTGAAAAAAATTAAAAATCTCATGTTAGTTAAACAATAATAGTTGAACGATATTTACCAATTGCTTGTTCATGTTGATTATTTGTGGTACAAGAAAATTTTCACTAAAATGTAGAAAAGTTGTTAAAAATAAAGAGTTTTTTGTTGATTTGAATAGTTTGTTTGATTTGTTACTATCTCACTGAGCTTCGAAACTCAACTTGTATTGTTGTAACTTTTTCCGAGCATTTTTATACTCAACTTTGGGAAGCGGGAAGAAAAATGAGACAACTAAAGGTGAGTATATCCCATTAACCTTGTAATATGTTTTTCTTGATTCGAGTGATTAAGAAAATGAACCAATTATTAGCCTGGTTTGTTTTAGTGATAGTTTTGTCTTCCCTTGGATTTACTCGATAAGACAGATCTCGAGTAGGGTTAAATTTAGTTACAATTGCTGCTCATTTCATGATCAAGGAGCATATCTCCGTTTTACTTTGTGTATGCAAAGATTTACTGGTTCTTGCTCATTTTCACTGGGAATTCCATTCATGAGGTTTACTCAGGTTTTAACCAAATAAAATCACAGAGCTTGAAAATTTGACAAGTCAATCGTGAAAAATGTACACAGATTGCTGCAGTCAGAGGGAAATACAGAAAGTTAGTTACTGTGATATTTTTTGTTCTCGGATGAAATGAATAGGGATGAAGGATTAACGTGAAAAAAGTTTATTTATAATCAATAGAGATTATGGGTTTGAAATCGAATTCGATCGATTGTTATTTCATATGTTATACAACTTTATACAATTATCGAAATACTTGATCAGCTGTAAATTAATGCAAAAAACTGAGATTGGAGGAATGGATGTGGATTCAAGATTCTGCAGTTTACACTTTGGCTTTACGGTTAAATCTTTTTTCTTTTGGATCAAAACCTTGTTCTTTCGAACCAAACAAGGCCCATTCTGGTGTTTCAAGAGCATAGTCGAGAGCATCAAACTCTTCTTTTCCATCACTATCATAATAACGTTTAACAAGGGTGATGAATTTATCGAAATCAATCCATGTATGCCATTTTCCGTTTATTTTGAATTTTTTCTGAGCGATCAGGACACAATTTGAATGTTCATGTTCGGAAACTATTTCCCAATCATGGTCGATTTCAGCAGCCAATGCTTGACTAAATTTAACAACTTCTTCATGCCAAGGAACATTATCCATAGTTATTTTTCCCGCTTTACTAGTTCCACAAAAGGTTACACCTTTGATTTCAATGAAATCTGGATTACCTTTGATGACAAGGTCGGCATAGTTTTCAATCTCATCTGTATTCCAAGATTTAACCAATGTTAATCTGTACACGGTTCGAATTTTTTTGTGGTATAAAGCCTCAAGACTGAATATGAAACGATCCCAAGAATTTTTGAAAAGTGGCCTGTCGATTCTTTTCAAAGCTTCGGGAGTTGAGGCGTCTACAGAGACATAAAGCTGTGTAATGGGCGTCAAGTTTCGTATTTCTTCAGGAAATTGTGCGTTGGTGACTAGGAAAGTTGATATGCCCTTATAATGAAGTAATTTAAGTAATTCATTAATTTTAGGATACATTATTGGTTCACCAACAAGGGATAAGGCACAGTGTCTCACTTTGAAACCTTCTTCAATTCTTTCAGGTAACACACCAGGTACACCTTTGAACTCATTAATCATTTTTACATGATTTTTTATAATCTCCTCGACAATAAACTCTGGTTCATTCATTTGCCATTTCCATTCAGTTCCAACAGGATTTGTGTGATGACGCCAACAGAAGACACATTTATTGGCACAAGCAAGACTAGGAGTTGTTTCCATGCATCGATGACTCTCAATACCGTAGAAGGTGTGTTTATAGCATCCTCCTCTACCTCGAAGCATTGATTTGGTCCAACGGCACATTTTGACGGCAGAATGTGAACCAACCAATTTATATCCTTGTTTGGTGAGATTTTTTCTGATGATTTCATTGGTCATTTCTTTAACATCACCATTAGAAACTTTGTTTTTCTCCGGTAAAGCAACTAGATCTTCAATGTCCCCAATATCATCGCGATTATTATGCTCGTCCTCTTCATAGTCGTCTTCCTCTTCTGAGCTTTCATGTTGGTCTGAAAATTCATCTGTAGCAAATAATACTTCTTCGTCGATCTGATCGATCCAAGTTGCTTTAGCTTTACTTGACTGAAGTAAAAGGTCAATATTGGCAAGTACACGGCTATACCATGATTCTGCTACTTTAAGAACGTCGTTCCCACTGTCTTCATCAAAAAGCTGAGTATCGAAAATTTTTACAGCTCCACTTTTGATAAATAATTCGTCAAAGTCGTTAGCTGCTTTACAAAATAAATCTTTGTAAACAGAATTTCCTAAGCCGAAGATTGCGAACGTGATTTTCTGCATCTCTTCATCATAATAACCAGCTTTTACTTTTGAAAAAAAATCAGCAGCTGAAGTAGGAGGATTACCATCGTCGTGGGTAGAGACAAAGAAGACAAGAGATATTGCACGAGAACCAGAAACTCCATGCTCTTTCAGGCAATTTTTCAGATCAAAATTAGCTACATCAACTAGTATTGGCTTGATTTTATCAGAACAGCTAAGATCTCTAATTTTTTCATACATTAAGCAAGCTAATTTTCTTGATGTACCTGTCTGTGTAGCATAAAGAATAATAATCACATAAGGTTGGTATTGATAGCCATTAGGAACATTTACAGCTGAGCAACATTTGTTCTCGGTAGCATCGTCTCCGCGGCCACAAGCATTTTGGCAGCATCCAGATTGTCTCTCAGCATCATTTGCAGCTTTGTCTTCAAGTTCTTTAATTTGTTTCTTATTCCGGTAAATGTAAGCCACAGCAAACGTTGATATTATCACAGGTACAAAAAATCTATGTGTTAAAATGCCACTTAATCCTGGAAGGTTAAAAAATCTCTCCATGTCAGGGTGACTGATTTGTTAAAATTTAAAGGTTGGTATAATGTTAACTTAATATTAATTAATTATTAACTAAACACAAACAGTTGATGAACAATAAATTTATCTAAACAGCAAACTAATTTTTATCAAACGAAATGAAGCTTAAAATAGCCAACCAAGTTACTATGGGAACCATTACTTACCATGGTAATTACGACATCATACATCAAACATGTAAATTGAAAGTTGTCTTGCTTCTGGTGAAATTAATGTTTACCTTCTTGAATCTCAATAGTATTGAACCAATACTGATTTAAGTCTTCGTTATTATGTTAAAAACGTCTTCAAGCTTGCAACTCTGAAATTTTAAGCAATGGCTAATGTTGAAAAATCATTTGATTCTTCATCTTCTTTTGATGATGAAGAGGAAGGTGATTGGACCAAGGAAGCCAGTTTCATTGTAAACGAATTCAAACTTGTTGTTAACGATATTCATGTCTCACAGAAGCTGAAACAATCTGAAAATCGAATCTATTTCAATTGTGAGACTAAGGAAGGCAACAGGTACTGTATTGAATTTACTGCTGCTGGATTTAAAATTGTTTCCAACTCTTACGATACCATAAATGAGGAGGAAAAGGATAAACAAGAGGAACAAGAAAGCTCTATATTTTATGAAACCATGAACGCTTTGCTTGATAAAGTGAGTCCACTGTATAGAAACGCATTTAGCGATCAGCTTATTAATAAGTTGAACGCTTATGCTAGTCAGTGATCAAAGCGGTTATGCTCAATATTTGATCAAAGTACATCAAAGTTAACCTCCGATTATTCACCTTGATGATTCCATTTATAATTAATTATGTAGTCCAATAAAAATTTACTGTAATTGACATTTAATCACTATTTTTTCAAAAGTAATAATTTCATAAAATATCAAGATACAACATCAATTTATTTTAAAAAACTAGAGATTTTTAAATATCGCAATTAAAATGGATGTATGATCGAAGTGAAACCTGAATAAGTATCAATTGTATTACTAATTGTAGTAAAATTGGAAGTGCTTGAAATGTCCTCAATGCTCTAGTTGATCATTTTTTACATTTTTAAAATAACACTCGTTCACTGACCGTGTATGAATATTATAGAATTCAGGATTCATCTTCGTAAACATAGTTAATTTGTCAATAGTCAAGGTTCATTACATGTATACACTTTTAAACGACGACATTTTAGGAAGGATTTGAGCAAATCTATGGAAAAGTCAGGTTTGCTCATTCGGATGACATTTTTTTTTATTTGATAGTCGAGGCTTAAGACGATGATCAATGATCAATCACAATGATGTATTGAATCTTGTGAATACTTTTCTTTAGCAAGAGATGAAAATCGGAAAGGAGAGAGAAAAATAGATTCTCATTTAAGATTGTTGATGATGGTGGTCTAACATAGTCCAAAAAAGTGTTCAGGCCGCTTGTGTCATGAGAGGGAAGCAATACAACTTTGAAACTGATGTTTATCTTTAACCTTTCCCCTGTTTGCTATTTGGTTCATCAAGTATCTGACTCCAAATCTTGTTCCAATCAATGTTAAACTCATCCCAAGATTTTGCCCAAAATTTTGTGACGCTTGGATGCTGAATTCGAGAAGCATTTAAGATATGCTTCTTTTCGCTTATTCGAAGCTTCTTTTGTTCATAGATCCATCTCTTCAGATGTCTGAAGAATAAACAATTGTTATTTCATGAATATGTCTACAGCTTAATTTTGTATTAACTTACTTGATGAATGGAATTGCCATGAAGAAAACATTAGCATTGAGATCTTTCTCACTTTTATGAGTAGGTAATTTACTCACTGGAAACCACTTGATGTCTTTGATCTCACCTCGAGTTTGAGCGACAAATTTCTCGGATTTATTAACACCGGGAACAATATATAATCGAACATTTGTGTCTCTCACTTTCAGTTCGATGTAATCATCAGCTTTAATCAAACGACTACAATCGAATCCAGTTTCTTCTTTGACCTCTCGACAAGCACAAAGAACAGGATCTTCTTCTGCATTAACTTTGCCCTTCGGAAAACCCCAACTTGTTTGGGAACAAAACCCTTGTACCATTAAAACCTAGTGAAAGATGAAAATATGTTAAAACCATACAATGAGAATTATTTACTGAACTTACATGCTCCATGGCATCATCTAAAAGTATGGCCCCATAAGTGGGCACATTAGACTTATACTCTTGCCATTGTTTAAAATAAATGTCAAATTCTTTGAGAAAAATTTTCAGAAATGGGACATGATTAAACATAACTCGGGCAAAAGCTCGAAGCTGCACCTTAGGTAAGCTAGGTCGTTGGACGCGAAAAAAATCCTTGTAAAACCAATGGGCTGACTCGATTTGAAACATTGCTCTGATGACGTTTTCCCGCTCATGTTGAGGCAGGTTGATGATGAATCGACTTGAGTGAAGAAGCAGAAAATAAAAGATATGGATAGGTTAGGTTAGCAATGACAGGTGAGAATTGTTTGTTCATCTTTCAAATTAAAACAAAACATATGATAGGAGAAGGGTAGAAACAAATGATATCAGTTAAAGAAAGCATAATCAGTCACAGAAATATCGAGTATAATATTAAGTATTCAATAATAGTTACCAAAAATAAGGTTTTATAGTAAATTTACTCACCTACTCAAGTCATCCAATATGTCAATTGGAATTGAAAATGACTGGTTATCTGAATATTGCATCTTTTTGAAAACGATGGAATATAAAGAACTGTAAAAAAGAGGTAATCAATAAATAAAATAGACAATGAGGGTCAAAGATGATGATGAGCAATTAACATGGAAAAAGGAGCGAGAGGCGATCCATTAAGTAAAGATGTGAGAAAGCAAAAGAAAACAAAAATGAGTTCTAATCATATGCTTCTTTTCATTATAGAGGGTAGCTAGGTGATGATAAAGAGGCCGATAAAAAAAGAGAGAGAATGGAGACCAAGTTGTCATTTAACTGTGATCAAATGTTGATTAGATCGTTTTGATTTGTTTATTTATACAATTTAACTATTTTTTAACCAAAGTAAAAAATCATTACATCAAAAGAACGGACAATATTGATCCTTTGAATAATTAGGAAATTATTAGACTGACCCCCGATCTTGCCATGACGTACTACAAGTTGGATGCTTAAATCAAAACAAACCATCAATTAGGACCTTTGAGTGTTCTCATCTAAATAATATCAATAAATTATCGCAAAATGAAGAAAGTTATTTATCCTGGTAAAGGTGATTTACCAGAATTTCATCCGGAGTCAAAGGTAAGACATTTTGTTTGATTACGTATCACAATACCTCTATTAATCTGAGTTGTCTTTTTGAAATCCATTTTTTTCAGGCTATCTTTCATTTTCAAACCATCAAGATTGTTAATGGCGAGGAAAAGATTATTGATGATAGTCGAAAATTGGGCAAGCCAATGGAATTACTGATTGGTAAAAAATTTAAACTAGAAATTTGGGAAACTCTCATCAAAACAATGAGGATTGGTGAAGTTGCTCGTTTCCATTGCAAAGCAGCTACAGTGTTAAATTATCCTTTTGTTTCCAAGCAATTTCGTAGATTTGCCAATAATGGAGCCAAAGATGAACATGGTGATAATGAGGAAGCTCATACCCATGAATCGCATTGTTGTGGAATGGCTCTTCAAAAGTCATGTGGTTTCAGTGATTTGGATGAGCTGATTAAATCACCAAGTGATTTGTATTTTGTCATTGAACTTTTAGAGGTTATTTCTCATGATAGCTATGAGAAGGAGATTTGGCAAATGACAAGTGAAGAACAATTAAGACAGACAGGTGATTTAAAGGAAAAAGGGAATCAAGCCTTTCGCCAAAATGATTATTCTACTGCCTGTCAATTGTATGAGAAAGCTTTAGCCATTCTAGAGCAGCTTATATTAAAAGAGAAACCCGGAGATGAGGAATGGATAGCTTTAGATGAAATGAGAATACCATTCTATTCCAATTTGGCCCAATGTCGACTCAATCTGACTGATTATTATGCCGCTAGAAGAGCTTGTGATGAAGTGATTAAAAGACAAGACAAAAATGTTAAAGCTTGGTTTCGACGAGGCAAGGCCAACCTTGGTATTGGAGAATATGATTTAGCGGTCGCTGATTTTGAAAAAGTCGTTTCTTTGGACCCTAATTTACAACAAACAGTGGCCAAGTATCTGGCGCAAGTGGAAAGAGAAAGAAAATTGTCTATCGAGAAAGAAAAAAGTATTTTCGCGTCAAAGCTTTTCAGTTGAATGACAATCGAGGACAATTTAGACGAAATAACTATAATCATGTTCATTGTTAACTAATGTCATCAATTTTATTATCAATTTGTCATTTAATTATGATCTAGTCACAAGTTTTAACCAAGTTATAGTTTTTCTCATCAATCTCTTTTATTAATATTTGCGTGTATTTTTTTGTATTAATTGTAATTGTTATTTATTTTGTACAATATATTTGCATTTTATTCAACCAGATTAAAAGACGATGTTACTTTTATCCAAAACCTATTGTTTATCAGTACAAGTACAATACGAACATTTTTTCGATTGAAATCAAAATTATATCTCGACCTTTTACGTAAATGAAAAGGATTGATAAAAAACAATAGAAGTTATAAATTACAAAATCTCGATAAAATCGGGGCTTAAACCAACTTGAAAAATCTTTCCGATTTAACTCAAATATTGAATACTAGAGGGCAGTAAGTGATGAAATCGGTGTTCAATTGAAACAAACCAAGTTATCAGTAAATTCAAGTTAGACGATTTTCCGAAACTATCTTGAGATAAAACTGGCCAAGAAATTAATTTATGATATTTTGGCAGCAGAATTGGCATGCCAATAAATATATCAACTCCAAGAATAGCGATCAACTCCAATCCGTTCGATATTACTGTGATAATGATCAGCGAAAGTCTCACAACTTCTCGAGTTTCATTGAATGGTTTTTATAACAAGATAGAGAGTTTGAAGTAGATTAATTGGGAATATTACGACTAGATAGGTTATATAAATTCAGGGCTATTCAGCTAATATGTCTCTTAGAGCAAGCGATTTGCTTGCTTTCTAAATCCACTTTTCGCTAGCTGTTTGTTTTGAGTCTCATCCACTCACTGGAGTTGAAACACACTTTATCAATTCAAAAAGAACTGAAGAAAATGAACTTCCATGTTGATCAGATATGGATTGACAAAATAACGTTGAATAATCTTGATCTCAGCAACAGTAATAATAAATCTATCTTAAAGCACTTATACTCAAATCCCAAACCAGTAATCCCTCTGATCGCGAAGTTATCCTCGATTAGCATTTTATTATTGCCTGCATTTATTAGCTGAATATTCAGAATGTAAATATCAATATGAATATTAGTTTTCATGAAAACTAAATAAGAAAAGTGAAAAGGTTGACATCTAAATAAATTATCTTCTATTAAATATGATTTGGGAGTTAGGAGTTAAAAAATCCTAATTGTTTTCTTGCAATCAATGAAAGCAAAATGATATTTGTAACTTTAAATGAAATAATTTTTTAATTTTGGCAAAGATAATTAATTTCAATGTTAATCTGTAATCTGTCTAAAAGTTCAATAGTTTGTCACTTGCTTCTGAATCTTTCTTCTATAACATGTAATCTAATAATATTTATTAATAATACCCAATATCACTGAATATAACTGCTATTATATTTCAGTGTTCAATAAAGAATTGAAAATCTACCTCAATTGATTGAGTTGCCGGAAAATAGTTGCTCTAATGGTCTTAATAGTGGCTCTAGTCTGACCCCAACGAGCCTAACAGTTTAATTCCTAGTCAACTTAATTGGTATAATCAAATTTTTGAATAAACGTCATTATTTGACGTAATAATAAAACTAATTCAAGATACATTTCTTGGTTTATCGCAGTATGTTGCCATTAACTCCCGATGTGATAAATCAGTAGCAATACACTGAAAATCCAGGTTACCTCTTATATGTTATTTGATATCATAATTTTGTTTACATTTATATCAAACATTACCCTTTAATTATAATAATAATAGTGTAACCATTGGTTATTCGATGTCCAGTGTTTACCAAAAAAACAAGTGATTACAGAGTTTTCTGATAATCAATAAGACTAATAGATCAACTGAATAGAATGTTTATTTGAATTCATAAATTTCAATACTGATCACAACATTGATTGATTTAGTAAACTTGGTTTTTAGATCACAAAAATAAGACTAGAAATTATTGAAAATACAAACTCTAAATGGTTTAAATTAATCAAAATGGAAATATAAATTATAATGAAATAGTCTGGACTGAAAAATGCTGACATTCTGAGCATTTTACAAAACATTGAATATAATGTATGTAAAAATGATTATTTTGAATGATTTGAATGGCCTATCCTCTTAAAAATGGATCTTTGGGTTTCCTCTTGTTTCCAAGTAATTTGTTAACATTTTGTACACCCGAGAAGGCCAATGTTGTGGATGATCTGTGATTATCTGGTAATTTAGTTGATAATGCTCCTGGTTTATTGTTTGATTGGTAATTGAGGTGAACATCGTCCTTCATTGAGCCATTATCCAGTTTATTTTCATTGTTTTGTTGAAAAGCTTCTTGATTAGAGTTTTCATTGCCAGTGTATGCATAATGAATTACACTCGAGCTATAAATGGATGACTTGGGAATTGTATTTTGTCTTGAAGAGTCTGTTGATGGGAATTTGTTAATTGAAAGATTGTCCGTCGATATGGGAGATTCTGGTTGAGATGAAAGACCCGAATTTCGTCTTGAAACTAAAAGGAAAGAACAAATATAATGATAAAGAGTGTTCGAGGTGATCTTACATCAAGTCTACTGTTCACACAAAGTCTAGGTAATAGTCATAGTTGACGATAAATTACCTGGATAATAATTCCTTCCGTTGCGCTCCTTAAACTGTTCACCAATGTTTGGATTGACATTGGTGTTGGCATTAACGTTGAGCTTGGGCTGATTAGGTGATGGCTTACTGAGGGAAGTTGTTTGGTTAGATGGCGTTTCGTTTTCTATCTCTTCGTCATCACCTTCTTCTTCATCTTTGTCATCACTTCCATCGTCATCGTAGTCGTATTCACTTTGGATGGGCAAAGAATCTTCTTTTTGTTCTCTTTTGTCAGCCTCGAATTTTCCTTTTGAACCTTTTTGATTAGATGAGCCAAATGGAGATACTTTATTAGCTATTCTTCTGAGATTTTTCAGGTAAACTGTATCAAATTTCGGACTACCTTGACTAGGCTCATTGTCTCGAGAAATAGGTTCATCTTCATCTTCATCGTCATAATCATATTGGCTTAATGATCTCGCAGTTGAAAATGGCTTGCTGTTATCCCCAAAAGCTTCAGTCTTTTGCATTTTACCAAAAATGGTACCAGGATCACGAAAAATATTAGCAACCGGTTCAATCAATGGATGGCCATTTGAGTCTGAATAGATTAAAAGTGAAGCTATTAATTGAAATATATTAGTAAATTAGTCCATTAGGATTCTAAGTCAAATCCTTTTTAAACAATTAATGATTTAGAAGTAATTAGCTTAAGATTGTATTATAAACGTTTGGGTTGCTACTAAAAAGACACATTTAACACAATTGTTACATTTAGCACACTTTTACACAAACACTGCAAAACAACTGGGCAGAAACGGGTAAAAATGGATTTTTTGCAAATTTAGTTACTGTCGGTTTGTAAGGACATAAAAACTGAGTCCATTTATGCTTTTAAAAAATTTCTCAGATCGATAGTTTGCAAAAAAATCGAGTTCAAAGTTGAAACTTCGATCGCCATTTTTACAGTTAGAGAAGCAGATTTTCACATAAACCTTCATTTTCCTGATTGATATTTCGCTTATCAACCAGTAGATGCTCTTATTTTAAGAAAAAAAGTTTTCAGTCGCCGTAAAACAGATCAAGTTCGATTTGAAATTAAAGTTGTCGCATTCAGTGACCATATAAGTTAGAGAACTGAAACTTATTTTTGGGGCTCAAAAATTGCTTGCACGCACCGTGAATCAAATAATTTATCCGATCGATCAATAGTTCTCTTGATTTTGGCCTTTGACCTAAAAACTTTGAGGATCGATAAGTCGAGAACGGAATTACTCAACATCATCATTCTTTGGCCCAATATTAGTTCTCATTATGGGCTATAGTATATCAAAATATTAAATCATTGAAAGTCCTGCCAACAAAGTTAAAGCATTGTGTTACTTATGTTGCAGAATTGAGACTTTGTTGATAAAGTTAGATGGTTACTCAAACACAAATCATGCTTAAATCAATTACCTCAGATTTTATTCAGTCTTGAGTCACATACTTCTATAGCCCATGATGAAAACTAATATTTGGCCAAAGAATGATGATGATGAGTAATTCCGTTCTCGACTTATCGATCCTCAAAGTTTTTAGGTCAAAGGCCAAAATCAAGAGAACTATTGATCGATCGGAAAAATTATTTAATTCACGGTGTGTCCAAACAACTTTTGAACCCCAAAAATAAGTTTCAGTTCTCTAACTTATATAGTCACTGAATGCGACAACTTTAATTTCAAATCGAACTTGATCTGTTTTACGGCGACTGAAAACTTTTTTTCTTAAAATAAGAGCATCTACTGGTTGATAATCGAAATATCAATCAGGAAAATGAAGGTTTATGTGAAAATCTGCTTCTGCGTAACTGTAAAAATGGCGATCGAAGTTTCAACTTTGAACTCGATTTTTTCGCAAACTATCGATCTGAGAAATTTTTTAAAAGCATAAATGGACTCAGTTCTTATGTCCTTACAAACCGACAGGAACTAAATTTGCAAAAAATCCATTTTTACCCGTTTCTGTCCATTTGTTTTGCAGTGTTTGTGTTAATTTTTGCATTGCAAAAAATCTTTCTTTTTAGGTAAAACCAGAAAATTTGTAATGACAACCATTTTGATTTCATTAACACTTTGCTTCAAATATTAGTAGCATGTAAGATTAATTATGCGAAATTAACAAATAGAAACACCTGAAATATCAAATGTTTAAAACAATGATTGAAAGATTCAAAGAATGACTTTACTTTGGCGAAAGTTTGAAACTTAAATTCTAAATAAACAATTCGTTTTGATATTTATCCATCACGAATTGAGCTAACCAGGTAAAGTTAGTGAACTGTGCAGTTGAAAGAAGATGCTTTTTGGAATAGTGTTGAAGGGAAACTCAACTTTTACTCACATCTTGATTTGATAGATGGATTTTGTACCTGTTCTTGACCATTAAGAGTTTCCTTTACATTATTCGAATCATTAATTTGTTTAATTATTTGCTCTAATGTATAATTTGTTGGCGTCAAGTTGAAAGTTGTAATGGAGTCATTTGAAGAGTCAGGGAAGGTTTCCAATGATGATGGCACTGTTGATTCACTCGTTGAATTTATATAATTTTTAGACAATATTAAAACACAAAGAGACAGAAATTGTAGGAACTGAATTGCATACATGATAGGAAACTCTTGAGCTTATTGCTGTAGAGTAATTATGCGATTTTTTATTGAAATGAGATTCACTGATACAAAATATGGAAGAAATTGCTGTAAATGAAGAGTTGAAATTAATGAACTAAAGCAAAATTTAGGTTAAAATACAAGAATAGCTTCAACTTTCACATTGCATAAGGAAATAAGCACAGGAATCTGGGGAAAATGATTTGTGTGGCAGACGATGAATTTAGGTGAGTTTTCCAAAGGTAAACATTGCATTTCGTCGACACAAAAAACAAATCATCATTGGAACTACGGCAAACACGGTAAGTAAAAAATTAGTTCAAAACCATTAACAGTTGATTTGTATCTGGTAAAGACGAAAGAGGTTGAGTTAAAGTGGGTTGGTGCAATTCAACTGCAGAAAGCGAAGGTTAACCAGTTAATACAACTATTTCCGATTGAAAGACAAATTGAATAATACAGAAAGAACTTAAAGGAAGCAAAAATATTTAAAATAAAGATCAATGTTTTCTTGATTGTTCCATCATAAGATACAGTGAAACAATGAAATTAAGAGCTTGCTATTAATAGATCAACTCGGAAGTTGAGAATCGAAAGGTAATTGTCCATTTATTATAGTATTGATAAGTTAACAAACATGAAAAAGAGAGTTCCAAGATCATTGGCTTACAAGGGAAACGCGCGAGGTTCCTCAATAGGCCGATCTCAATAGACAAATTTCATTTGATAGAGAAGGTTGAGTTATGGAATTAGATCGAAAATGCTCTTATAGACTTGTAAATATTTTAATGTGGCCCATATCAACGAAGTAAGCCTTGGCAATTTTCTGACCATTTCTTACTGAACTCACTGTCAGTAACGTAACTTGGCAGTTACTCAAAATAATTTTTCTGCACAAAAGTTGATTGTTGAAAATGATGAACATACAAAATAAACAGCCTTTGTCAGTGTAGACGGTTAAATAACACAACACAAAATGTGACTATTTATCCAAATGTAGGTGATTTTCACCGCTCTTTGTAACGCTCTTTGCACTAATGAGTGAATAACCGAGTTATTCAGCCATTCAGGGTTAAACTCGAGGAATACGGTTTAAGTATTTGATGTCGCGTTGTAGTTTAGTCATAATCTAGAATTCAGGACTTTCCCGAAATGCTCATATTATTATATTATTGAAATGAAATTGAGATGATTATTATTATATTTCAGCGCAAACGTAACTTGCTAGGTCTCTTTGAATACAAGGGAAATCTCTCTCTGTGAATTTAAAGTGGTAAAGGTAACTTTTCGAGTAAAATAAGCTGAAATTCAAATTCTCTGAACACTTTTGTCTTCTAATGTTTATAAAATCATTCGAGAAATTCGATGATGTTTCAATTTATTGCATATAAAAGTTTTAGTCATTTTTTCAGATTGCAGCTACAATTAGTGGAACAATTGGTTTTGCGGATAATGGACAATCGGACTAATCGAAATAAAAAATACAATTAAATCTGTAGAAACACTTGATTCAAGTTCGAATCGAGTTGGTTAGTCCTATTTCCTCATGATGAAGACTAAATAGCAATTTAGAGGAATATTACACTAAATTAAAACAATTTTTGGAGGAAAATTAGAGCTGGGAAAAGCCAAACGGGATGTGTTGAATGATACAAAACTAAGGACTTTTGATACAAAAATAAAGATTATCTTGATCTATTTCGATCAAAGCAAATGTCGATTGGTTGTGAAAAATGAAATATCGAACAAGGTTAAGCATGATTAAATAATCCAGATTTCACAACAGTTATGAATAGTCGAAAAATGGAAATAAAGATTATGAATTTGATTATGGTAATAGCAAAATGTACAGTTGGTGAATGAGTTACACTTTTGCATTGTCAGTCAGCAAACCTTGGTTAAAACAATGTAACGAAGTAGGCAATCCGGTGGTTGTCATTGAATTAACCGCGAGACGTGAGTTGATTGATTTAAAAGGTTTAGCTTGCGATTTACCGAGTAACATGATTTAGTTGATAAAATGTAAATCGGTGAAAACAAAAAAAAAAGGAACCAAAAAAGCAATATTTTAAAGAGAAGGAGAAGAAAAAAATGTTTGTTCTAACATTTTTTAGTCGGTGGTTATAGCAGGATATCCGTTCAATCGTTAATCAACTAATTAATTTGCTTGGTTGACCGAGCGAGTTAAACAATATTTGAGTAAACTGTGGTGTTGGTGGGTTTTTGTATAACATTTATTACACAGGGACACAAACATGATAATGAATTGTGAGCTTGGTTTTTCAACTGAATTGGGTAAAAACTGGTAAAATTATAAAACGCTGAAAAGACAGCCAATGATGACCATGATGGTTGAGATAAAATGGCGGTTTGGTTTCAATCACGAGTGACAAAAGTAAGACAAAATTAAGAAACTGGTAAAGAGGCGGGAACAGAGATAAGGATAGGGAGTCGGTGATTCATTTTTCATTTTGCTATATATAAAGACAATTAAGACTTTTCTTTTACAAATCGTCTGACAATTTTTAATAACTTTACTTCAACATTTGAAAGTGAGTTAAGCTTTACAAGTTAGTGTCATCGGTTAAAGTAAACTCAACATTTCAACAATCTTTAACTGTCAACAACCAAAAAATGAATCCAACGGTACGTTTTGTGATTTTTCTTGAATCTGGTTTTCTTTTCTCGAGATTTGGGTTCAACTGTTTTCTTAGTTACCAGGATAACTGTGTCTTCTCTCAACCCAAATCTGGATTTATTTGTTATCAACTTGTTGCTAACTGGATATTTTACCTTTACATTTTTTTCTGGTTTTAATTTTATTTTCTGGTTTCTCTTTTATCTCAACTTTTGTAGATTGTTAAATGTGTTACAACAATATTATCCCTCAATTTAATAACACTGGTTCATTGTCAAGGTGAAGATCTTGGTGGCCTTGGTGGCTTAGGTGATCTAGGCGGACTCGGAGGTGGAGGTGGTGACCTCGGCGGCCTAGGAGGCTTAGGTGGTGGTGGTGGTGATTTAGGTGGACTTGGAGGTGGAGGTGGTGACCTCGGAGGCCTCGGAGGATTAGGTGGTGAAGGTGGAGGCCTCGGAGGCCTAGGTGGTGAAGGTGGAGGCTTCGGTGGAGGTCCCGGTGGTTTTGGTGGATTTGGCGGAGGCCAAGGTGGTGGATTACCTGGAGGCTTTGGTGGCTCCGGTGGAGGTATTCCTGGTGGATTTGGAGGTGGCCAAGGCGGTGGATTTCCTGGTAAGTTTATTTTTTCATTGGCTCCAAATGCATGTCGTCTTTATTATGATCATCAATCTTAAATCGTCAATATCTCAAGGAATAGTGGTAAATTTTAGTCAAATTATTTACTCTGTTAAACTAGGAGTGCATTCATGTTGAAAAGTTGACATCATGTGACAGGAGAGAAAAGAACTAAGATTGAAAACAAGGAAGAAGAAAAAAAAGAAAGAAGGAAAAGTAAATAACTTCATGAATTATTCAGAATGTGAATTACGATTTTGATTTTGATAATGTTGATGACGATGGTGAGAATACACTTCAGTGTTTATTCATCCTTTTCTCTTCCTTTCTTCCTATTTTTTGTCATTCTCTTTCCCTCCCCTCTATCTTTCTCTGAATTTTCATCTTCTGATAAGATTGACCCAGTCAAAGAAGCTATTAGAGCAGGGAAGTTATCATAGTAATATTGTCCTATCATCAAAAAAATCTACAATCTAAACCGTATTAATTCATTTCCTTAGCATTGAAAGACTGCTTATTTTAAGCAATTTTATCGCAAGTCGATCTTTTCTCTCATCCTTATGATTAACAGTTACTATTTTGGCTTGATTATCCAAAAAATTCAAGTTAACCTTTAAATGATCAGCCTGGGTTGAGTGAAAACTCGTCAACTGTATCAACAGCTTTTGTCCTTTACAATCAGAATCAATTTGGTTGCAATATGATTACATAACACTTATTATTAGATAACCAAAACCCAAATTGAATACGAAAACAGTTGAGAAGAAAATAAGAGAAAAAAAGTGAAAAAAGAGCGAAATAATTCTCTCTTTTCAGGGTCAAATCGTAGGAAATTACCCAGTTAGTTCCGCTTTTTGTTTACCTTCAATGATGAATGTTCACTGATCTTTATGGATCTTGACTAGTCGAGCAAATTCATCACCATATTCAGTGAGCAACAACAGAAAGTGTCGACCTTCAACAATTCACAGTAAAGCAATAACCAAACAATGAAAACTGAACCCAAAAAAAAAGTGTATCAACAATCACAAAAATAAAACCTAAAGGTAAACTGAACAAGTTCATTTCCGTTGAAAATGATGTCAACCATGTGGCAGTTTATTCAAAGTCATTTTTTGGTGGAAAAGACACAGTTTTTGTTTCACCGGAGATTGCAACTTTGAAACTAACAATTCAAATCTAACAATATTAAAATGGTCCACTTGATTCAAGTTGATACTCAAACTGTTGTTGATACCGGCAATGGTTAATGGTTTGATGATGATTAAAAACAGGAAGAGAAATGGTATTGACCAAAAGAGAGATAAATTAATGATAAACTGACCAACTAATTGATCAAGTTAATTAACTGTTCTTTTCTTTTATTTCCAGGACTTGGTGGATTAGGTGGTGGACAAGACTTTGGTCTTGGTGGTCTCGGAGGCGGACAAGGTTTCGGTGGAGGCCAAGGACTTGGCGGTGGCCAAGGACTCGGTGGACTTGGAGGTCTTGGAGGACTTGGTATTCCTGGTTAGTATGAGATCTCTTGAGGTTTATTAGGATAGTTAAAGTAGAGACAAGAGAAACAGGTAAAATGACCATTTTCATGGGAATAAACTAGTCTAGGGTTTTATGCTCAAAATGAACATTTTTAATCATCATTATTACTCAATGACTATAACTTGATTACAATTGACCCGAATCAGCCAATTTTTATTGATAGGCAAACGTAAATGAAAGAGATAAAAAGCCAAAATGTTAATGTTTACTGGTGAAAATGTTATTACTGGCAGTCAAATTGTTAATGTTGATTAAAATTGAAGATGAGTAGAGTGAATTATTCAATTATATTATTCTCATTCATTACTTTTTGCCTTTCATCAAACAAATTGAGATTGATTAAGGTTTACATGGAACTGGGATACAATTTAATTTAACCTTTTTAATAGGAAATTATGATAACCCATAATGAACCATGGTCATCATGATACTTATTCTGCCCATTCAACTATCATCTTTCATGATGAACATCTATTAACATGGTAAAACATTTTTATGTTTTGCATCCATAAAAAAAAGGAGAACCAAAAACAAGGAAAATTGAAAAACAAGCAAATTCTCGTAAATTTTAAATAATAATGAAAAGTCTTTCAATTGTTCATTATTATCCATTTACAAGAATAATCTATTAAATTGAAAACAATATCAGTTGAAAAATATAAACATGTCAAGAGTATAGTCAGGTCAATATATTAGCCAATTAATCTGATAGCAAAAAAAAGGAAGAGAAGAGATGAGGAAGAAGAAAAAGAAGAAGAAAAATAATCCAAAATATTTTTCATCTTCTATTACTTTATTGCTTGAAACTATTATTACGATTCCCTGTCACTTGAATATCATCAGTTGCCACTGGTAACCAATTTCATGATAACATAACTCTTCTGTTAATACTAATAATAATCATAATAATAGTGATATGAGCATAAATTTTGTCTATTACTATGCTTGTTGAGTTCATGGAGGAACATGGTAAAGATAGAGAGGAAAAGAGGCTGAGAAAGATTTTTCTTCACAGAAGAAGAAGAAGAAGAAGAAGAAGAAAGTTCCGAAAGAAAAACAGAATCATCTGGTATAATGAAACTCCATAGATCGATTGGAACATGTAACACACAAATTTCACTACTTTGTTATCAGCCAATGAAACTGGTCAATTTACCTCCCACTTTTCATAATCAGTTTACATCAGTTGCATGCATATTAACATCTATCTGTTTCTAATATCACATTTTACTCCCAGTTTTACCAATCTAACTTTTTTATACACATTTATATATTTTATTACATTGTATTATATATATAAAACTGTTTCTCTGATTTCTATCTTTTTTCTTCTTCATTTTATTACTTCCTTGTTCCAGTTTATCTTCATCTTCTTAGCCATTTCTTTTACAATCTTGCTCATCAACTTTCTCTTACCAACTAACTAAATAGGCTCATCAATTTAACCCATCATTGAACTGTTGGTTAAACTTGAGTTAGTAATAGAAACATTTCATTGGCGAATCCATAATGAAAATGATTATTTTTTTGTTTGTCTCATTAATTTGCACCTCAATGGACAGATTCACACGATTCATTGAAACATTTCAACTAATGATTTTCTTTTGATCTTCTTTTCAGGTCTTGGTGGACTTGGTGGCTTTGGTCCTGGTGGTGGTGCCGGTGGAGCTGGAGGTGGTGGAGGTTTACCCGGTCTTGGTGGACTTGGTGGACTTGGTGGCTTCCGAGCTTAACCCATTTGATCTTGCCTTTTGACCCAACAACCTCGGAACACTTTATTTATATGAAAAAAAACCAAAAAACCTAAATCAATTATATTCTTGAAGCCAATTACAGTTTCTTTTTTGTTAACTGTTGAGAGAAACTGTTTTATTAATTTAAGAGTTATTTCCCCTCTTTTTCACCATTTTGATGCTCAATCGATTGATGATTAACTAATGAGAAATGGTGATTACTGGATTATAATGGCGCTGAGTATGATCGTGGTGATGATGCAGATAATTATTGTTGTAATGGTGGGCACAATTAAACTATAAAACACATTAAGATCAAAGCATCAACTTGTAATCGTTGTTATCACCATATCCATATAAATATCATAATTATCGTCAATAGTCGACCTTGTTTTATTTCCTTTTATAATTGCTAAAATACGTTCATCACATCTAATTGTTATCATCATTCTTTCCCTTTTTTTATACTTCTTCATTTCAACCTTCATCATCATTTAAATAAAAATGAGATTAATTCAATTAGAATGTTGTAAAAATTCAATTTGCTCGGAATATCAAACATTGTACCAAAAATATTGATGACTGTTACATTTTAGGCAATCTTTCAACAACTATTCTGGTAAATTACACAGTCATTGATTAACCTGACAATCTAATTTCATAATTAACTCTCTTATTTAGTAACACAACATTTAACACATTATCATTAATCTGGTTAAGACACAATTAATTGATAAACAGCCTTACGGTTAACTTGATGTTTATTTTACTAGACGATAAACATTAGCTAGTAAAATTGAAGCAACCAGAATAATTAACCCGAATCTAACCTTTCAATAATCAAGGAAAAAAAAGAGGATAACCAGAAACTCACAAGATGCCATGATGATGCAAAAATGATACATGATTACAGGATTTCATCCATACTGATAAAGGTTAAATCTCAGGTTAACCAATTACCTGAACAAATCATCATAATCATGCAAGTCACCACAGATGTAACCATAAAGTCTAGAACTTGAAAAAACTGGTTAATCTGTTTCCAACCACAATTCACTTGTTAGCTATGTAATTCAACCAAAAATGGCTCCCATTTTCATCCAGTAACCAAATTGTAATATCAATGAATGTAGCCAACGTTAAACTGCAACTGTAAGATAATAAGATAATAAAAGAAGATTGATAACAATTTATCAACGATTGAGACAAAAAACGAAAACAGAAGCGCAAAAATTGGTTGAGAAAAAAAGGTTAAGAGAAATGAGATAAAAATGAAACAAAGACTCACCTAAATTGATCAATTGACACATTGACTGTTACCATTAACCGCAGACAATTAATTGATTTCAATCTACAATTAACAGCATAAACATAAATATTAATTTATTGGTAAATATTGAATCGTAAAATGAAACAGCATTAAAAAGAAGAAGAAGAGAAGCAAAATCACATTTTCTTGCGTTGTTTTTTTCACCTAAACCTTGTTCTTTTTTTCCCTCTATCTTTCATTTCACGCTAACTTATTTTTTTTACTTTCATTTCTTGCCAATCATTCTTATCTTCCTCTTCCTCCCTCTTCTCTTCCCCATTGTCTCTCACTCTTTATCATCATTTTGCTCTCTCGATTCTGCTCTGATCATTCTCTGTCTGCTTTAACTGTCTAATTTTCTCTTTCCACCCGCACAGCACTCTTACTCACTGTCTGTCTTCCTCTGAGTCAGTCAATTTATCTCTGTCTGCTTTCTGTCTCTGGCAACTTTTTCTCACTTCATGTTGTTTCTCTTTTACGCCAGTTAATGTTAAACTTTGGTAGAAGTTAGGTTTATTAAATGGTCAAATTTTGATGAAAATTTACTTTTTTGGACTCATTGGGTCCTTTTTTTCTTCACCTTCATCATCACCATAATTTCCTCCTTCACCACCTTCATAGGATATCTAATCCTACCAGTTTTACCCAGTTATTTTATATCAACAATGTTAATTCAACAGTTTACTCTTGTTCCTTCATAAACAAGCTACCACCATCATCATTATCATCATCATCATCATCATAACATCACCGTCAAGCTACAACTACATCTAAATCAGCGACTGCAACAACAAAATCATCAACAACAACATCGTCAACCAAACCAATTATTGGTTTTCTTTTTTTTTCCATTTCCATGTTCGGTTAAGTGAGAAAATTTTTATCCTTCAAAGATAGTTTAAAAAGTGAACATCTCTTACCAATAAAGTCATTTCTTTTCCAAACGTCCACAAAGTACCAAAAAATATTTCTAACCAGTGAATTTACCACAAGAGATTATAAAATCAAGTTGGATTATTTTTGTCTCTCATTGTTTTTTTCCCATATTTCGCTTATCTCTCAATAAGGAAATATCTTGCATCTACAACAGCAGTAAAACACACAAGAAGGAGAAGAAAATAAAAAAAAAGAAGAATAAACAAATATAATTACCATGGCAATGGTTAACGGTTTAAGCAATGTTAAAGATTCTCGTTGGCTTCAACTTGAGGTTTGCCGGGAATTTCAACGCAACAAATGCACAAGACCAGACAGTGAATGTAAATTTGCTCATCCACCATCGGGTGTTGATGTTCAAAATGGTCGAGTAGTTGCTTGTTATGACTCTATCAAGGTACTAATTTTATTTTACTCTTTACCTTTTCATTGTTTTTGTTTATTTTTGCTAATTTTCTCTTTCTCTTTTTACCTTTATTTTCAAGGGACGATGTAATCGAGATAAACCACCGTGTAAATATTTTCACCCACCACAGCATTTAAAGGATCAACTTTTAATTAATGGTCGAAATCATTTGGCTTTTAAAAACGCTCTTCTCCAACAAATGCCTCTTCAAACCGTCCTCACAACTGGACAATTGCCTTTGGTGAGTGGCCATTTTTTCACACAAAGATCATCGGAAAAGGTATCAAAGGATTATCAACATTCAGCCTGTTTAATTTCTTTACCTTAATTGGATAACATTTAACTTCAACAAATGGTTTATCTTTCTCATCGGTCAATTTGTCAAATAAGTCTTGGTTCGATCGTCGAATCAATTTAGTCTAACCTCAACAAGTTGACTTAATCTTATAAAAGTGATCACTCAGATTAGATGAAGCTTATGAATAAATCGCTAATCTTTATCCTATTTTCAATTGACCATTTTGTTGAACCTCTTTAAATGTTTCCAAATAAAGTTGAAGAAACTTTGAAAGGTTAATTTGTCCAAAGCTTACAATGGATAACCTTTTCATTAACTTGAATATTTATCAATTTACTCTGCTCAACTAGTGTCAAATTCAACACCAATAGTAATTTAAATTGTTAATTGTGTAACTTGAAGTAACCAAGAGTGGGTCAGTGAGAAATATCATTTGCTGTTAGTATAATTCTTGATATTTTTGGACTCCATGAAACAAGTTTCTCGTTTTTCCATTTTCTTCACTTTCTTTTCTTATTGTTGCTCTTTTCCCATCTTATCTTTATCTTCATCTTGTCTTTCTTTTTCTTCTCTTCTCTCCCTTACTCTTATCCTATTGTCCATTTATTATTATGGACATTGTTGTGTTTATTATGAATGATGGTTTTGTCCATCCAATGAATGGGTCAACAATTGATCTTAACTTATATTTATCTTCTTTTCTCGTCTAATATCCTTCATTATAATAATCATCTCAGTTTTTTCTTCCATCAACATCATCATTTTTTGCTGTTTATTAATGGATTTTGATAGAAGTGGAGAAAAAAATTAACAGATTATCATTTCTATTAACTTCTAATCAAATAAATAATAGTCTTCAGGTAATGGGCAAGGAATTTACTTTGATCCATCGCAATTTCCTTCAAACCAAAGTTACTTTACTTTTCCAAATTAGTTAACAATTTAATCATTTACCAATTGAAATACTGGAAGTTGACCATATTAGTTGATTCCTAAAGTTGTTTCAAGTATAGTTTGAACAGTTTTAAAGATTTTCCAATAATAATGAATGAACTTTGAAATTTTCACTGAATCTCACACAACCTGAAAATTGCTTGTTTGTTGCTATTTATGATGACAGATGATTTCACTGATTAACTCTTATTTACAGGTCAATCGTAAAATCATTTGGTAACTTTATGGCTAATTTCATACGTTTCATGAAAAAAAGTCACTTCTCTTTCATTATCTTCAATTATTGAAACAGTTCCATGATTTTTTTTTGATTTTCTTACATTTATTGACTTGGCATTAAGACCAAGCTTGACAGGTAAACTGATGACTTAAGGCTCAACATTGAAGGTGATCAAGACCAAAAGCCCCATCAATAACCAACAGTAACAATGAAAACATTGAATTAAACCTTCCCACTTAACAATGATTTGTAAAGCTAAAGTAACAAACAATTTACCTGTAAACTACGGTACAATATTTGTTACTTTTTTTCACACAATCAAAACTAACATTATTTTTTCAAGGTATTATCATCATCATCATTCAATGATAACAATTGAAAAAACCATATCTTCAGCCAAGGTCTATTCTAACTTTATTATTAACTCCGATGTTCACATAAACAATTAAACTAATTTCACTATTGATTTGAATTAGAAATCATTTTCTCTGAAAATTTACTTTGATTAAAATGGTTCATCTTTTCACTTAATTCAGTTTCCAGTTTCAGTAAATGAAGCTTTCCTTCCTCATCTTATGTCTATGTTGATCAGGAAAAAAGGCTTTAAACTGTAAACGTTTGCTTGGTTAATCATTAATCGGTAAACAGTATTAAATCACCTTTGCATCTTTCCTCATCTTCATCTATCAGTTTCCTCCTCTCATCACCCTTACCTTTTAAACTTACACAGCTCACTAAGTTTATTTAAAAAACTCGTTCAGGTTAACTGTTGAAATGTTTTTTTCTTGTTACTTCAATGTTGCTATAATGTAAAAATACAATACAACTGAAGCAATATAATTTTCAAGTTTGAAAGCTTTTTCTTCCGTTCACTTTTCCAATATCATTTACACACTATTATCATCCTCATTATGATCACCTTCATCATGCGTTACCCTGCCTTGTACTTTACCCAGAATTTTAGAGCCAATCATTTCCGGTACACAATGATTAACTCAGGTTTAAAAGCATTTAAAATTGAAAAAAAATCCATCAAGATCAAGATCAACTTAATTATCCAACTAATTATAACGTCAATTGTTTCCTTATTGTGGATAATATTTCAATACATTTCAATGTAATGTGATCTGTCTTGACAAACAAAAGACGCAAAGTTGATCACTTTGACACTGAAAATGCTTCCAATTCATGTTTCCCAGAATCGTTGACCTGATCATCTTTATTCTCAATTCAATCCTTTAAATCTCAGGCAAAATATTAATTTTACTTCCAAATCTTAATGTCTATGGATTTGATGAAAGTTCAATTTTCTGATTGGGACAATAATTCAGTCATCCAGAAGTCTCTGAGTTTACCATTGAATCTAACCACAGGCTCTTGATCAATTTATTTTCATATTTGCCTTGAAATTTCACTTTTCTTGTTTCAATCATTTTCTAATTATCTATTTACAGTTTACAATACCTTGAGCTATTATACCATGAAATATGATAATGGAATGCTAGAGAGTGATGATAAATAATGAAAAATAATAATCAAGATAATTAGTTTTACCATTATTTATTTATACGTCTGAATAATCAACAATTTTTGTGCCCAAACGATGAACCATTTGTAATTACTAACTTATGAGTTTCCCTGTAAATTGTTGGTTAACTGTTATTGTTTAAGCTCGCCCGTATTATTTGATGTTTAATGTATTCACAGTATTTTTATGTATAAAAAAGATGTTATCAGGCAACACAAAAAAAAACATGTAAACATTTATTAATACCTGACTTTACCTGACTTTTTATTAAACATTAACAGTTTTGGGTTGCTCTTGCCATTTTTTTTGTTTCAAATGTATTGAATGTATCAATCTTAATGTTGCTCTCACCAAATTATATCTTCCTTTTGAAATCCATCATGATGAGGGCGTTGGTTTGTATGATGATAAACCCCAAGATGGTATTACTAAAGAGCAATATGAATAACCAATTTTGCATCTTCCTTTTTTGCTCACTTTCCTCATCTCTTATCATCTTTCTCTTCTTGCCTTCGTTTCTGATCCACTTGAAACTACTTAATGGTGCTTGCAATGAGGATGATAACAGAAAATGTTGAGAGATGAACATGATGAACTTCACCAGTTAAATGAAACATTTTCATCTTCATTAAGAAGCCATATTTAAACGCATTAGGACGCTTTATAAAATTATTCAGAAAAAAGTTATAACTAGTCAATAGAGAGAAAAAGATTCTCGAAGATTCAATTCTGAATATCAATTCTGAATCAACACTGAAACAGCTGATAACTTCGAGTTGGTAACAGTCGTAACACTTATCTTATCGTCAGTATTGCTTAAGATCAGATTTACTGCAAGCTACTAGACTTGTGATAAAAAGGATTATTTCCATGAATCTATGAATCGAGGAAAATTTCGCAGTTTTCCGTTTTCCATGAATTCACTGAAATATATTTTCGATTTATCAACCATGAAATAAAAGAATTAGTTTATTCTGAATTTCATTATTAATTTGATAACCTAAACTCGCGTAATGAAATGAACTTGTCACTTTCGATAACTTGTGGCTAAATTAGATTTTTTATTCAGAAAGTTATTGAATTTCTTTCAGCACTTCATTTATTATTCATGATCAATGGTGAACAGTTTTCGTCAATTCGCTAACAGAAAATAAAAAAGCAAATTCCATGTCATCTTGAAGCTAACAATTAACTGCAATAATCTCGTCATTTGCTGTTCTAATGAAAAAAGGTGAAAATTGAAACAAAACGAGTAAATGTTTTATAATGTGAGCATTTATTGTCTAATAAAATGAAAGGTAACCTGAAAGGTAAACATCTTTTGGCTATTATCAATTTCCTTATCTCGTTTACATTGCTCATTGATATTATATTGCTTGATATACCTTGTCAGGTTAATGAGTAGAGGTTATTAGTTGATGATAAATGAACTGTAACTTGACTTAATAATAATCACTGATTATCACTTTACCTTTTCTCCATTCACTAACTTAACATTATATCTTCTTTGGAAGCGCAATTGATTGAAACAATCATTAACCATGAATCATTTCATTCCCCATGATCAAGATAATAATGGTGTTGATGTTGACTATTTTTTTGTTAAAAATGCTTATAAAATCATTCCAACAATCTTCCTTTTTTACCATTTCTCCATGATAACTGTTTAAACTTTTTTTCGAGCCATTTTCACTATTCTATTCAAACAATATTGACTCTTCATATTTCTTTTCATCATCCAAGGGGAGATTCCCCTGAAATTGTGCTTCTTTTGCTCGCATTAATGTGAACACATTGTAGTTGGAAAGGTTGTGTTTGTCTGAGTGAGTCTTCAAGGTTGATTTCAATCATTTCAATCAACCAACCTCACATCATTTTAACAGTATTATATGTTTTACCTTGTAAACATCTTTTTTATTCATATGATTGTCATAATTCATCTCTTTTATTCTGGTTTACCGGTTAATCGTTTCTTCACTTTCTTTGCATAATAAATGTAACACAAAATTACTTTTAATTACGGTTAATTGTAATGATGATCATAATTATGTTTGAAAAAATTACAAAACAAAATATTAATTCTTGGGTTGTGTCAGTTTTTTGTTTGATTGGTCACAGTATTAATGTATTGCTTGATAATTACCGTTTTTTGCTGATGATGCAGTGAAACAATGGTTATGATGGTAATGGTTATGATGATGATGATGATGAGAAATATGACAAAAGGAAAGTAAAACTGAAACTATACAAAATATTCTATTGCAATAAGCTGAGAAATTG